GTATGAGTAACCAAAAAGAGGTTTTCTATCTTATACAGATTTATTTGCACCTCATTCTTTTTTAACCGTGCAATTTTTGTTTTATTCTCACACCAAGTAAGTAAACATGAGTTGAAACAAACATGAGTTGAAGCTTATTGATACATAAATTAGGCTTGAAAGGGTGCTTCTACCTTTTGATTGATGTGCTCAGACTTGGAGAAAATTTGGATAGAAAGTTCAGTTTGAACGAAGATTGCTCTTCGATCACCTGATGACAAAAAAATTAATAGTGAGACACTCTTGCATTTGATATCTATAATTAAGCTTAAAATGTTAAAAGCATATCCATTCATTCTCGTCCCTTAATCTAAAATCCAAATGTTAATAACCCTAGATCTCTTGATCACTGTGATCAACAGTAGATGCTTGTAAACATATAACGTTATTAGAGTTCTTTATCACATGAACAAGATTACCATAGAAACCCACATGAAACTGGGTGATTTGTGGAGTTTTACCTTCTAATAAAGCTCGTTTGTTAACCACTTGAATTTTTTTGAAGTTAATCCGAGAACGCTACTTACACTACCCTACAAGTAAAAGTGTTATGTTCTGCTCTCAAAAATAGCATAGTCAAAATTGATACTAATTGTAGCTAACTTCGATTTAGTTCAATTCCCACTTCCAATATCATGGAATAAAAAAAAGTTACTTCGACAACATATTTACTTATTATCATTTAAAAGGAAATATTTAGTGCTCAAAATGAAAGTGGTTTTTGAAATTTGACTTTAGAAATTTTTTTTCAGCAAGGTTTTCGTTTTTCTCTCCTTTTATACACCCATTCATCACTATGCATGGACTACACCAGGTGGAAAAGGATCCCCGCCGGATCCTTTTCCTAGGGATCCTAAGGATTTTGTGATCTCATCTGTTTATTGTACAGAGTGCGGTCAGAAATCATTTCAAAATTTAAAATTTAACATTAAATATGAATAATATCTAACGAAAACTGACCGCATGATATACGATGAACGGATGAGATCACGAGACCCTTAAGATCCCTAGAAAAAAGGATCCGACGAGGATCCTTTTCCCACTAAGGTCAACCATTTTCAGTACTTTTTTTTGTTTGTTTTTTATTTGAAATAGGAATCACATCCTTACACGACCACACTTCCTACAACCACAAACATGCATATAAAATCCCCATAAAACACCCCCTTCAATTTTCACTGAGATCATATCCTCCTGCACGGTTTCTCAGATCCTCAATAGGCCCTTGGACCGGATCGTATTCATGATCATGATGACGATCTTTGCCCGGCCCCTCTGTGCCTTTGATCTGTTCTGTGGTTTCCTTGCTTGCCTTCCACGCACCATCCATGGTGGGCTTGGCTGTGTCTCTCCCAGTCTCCTCCGCCATCTCAGTGGCTTTCACAGGTCCATCTTCTGCATGGTCACTCGTACCAGCTAGATCTTGATGTCTGGCTTCGTATAACCCTTCCTTCAACGTCTCCTTTGCCGGCAATCTTGATGTCCCGCTAACTTCACCCCCACTTTCTCTTGCATCTGCCACTGCATCGGCACCCTGAACATTTAACCCCATGAACCCATGACAAGATTGATATGAACGAAATTAAAATTATAATAAGAAGATTGAAAAGCCATGTTATTTTTGTCACCTACTTATGTCCGACTATCGTATGAAGCGCTGATCACATATACTCTTCTCTAGAAGAACCTCTCCAGATGAAGTTCTATGACACGAGTTTATAGGGAATGAGTGGATTGCTACCATAGCGTCTCATAACACTGATGTTCTAACCACAATATTGATGTATATATTGTATCATGTCATATAAATTGCTCTTTTTGTTTTAATGTTTTGATATATAGAGTCAGTCTCATAGCTTTACAAAATAAGGCTCGGTATTTTATTAGGAGAACGTACATATTATTTTTGTGCTAGGTAATACCGAATTCGAATTTCGTAAATAAGAACTGTAGAATAAAAAACACAAAAATTGTACATCAGCACCTTCAAAGGCAGTGCAGAAGCAAATCTTGGAGAATCTGCCGGAGGGTTGAGTCAATTGCAAAGCTTTAGAGGCAATAGCCCTTCTTGCTATGATCAACAATATTGTTGCTGGCTTTGCCATGTTTTGGTGGCTTTGTTTTCTTACCCCCTTTTATATATTATTCTTCCTCATCTACTATGGTAGCGCTTGATTCAGCGTCAAAATTGATGATATGCGAAGGTTTGCAGTTGCAGCTCAAGATGAGAGACACGTGGAGCGGTTTGGACACGTGCAGCAAGCACAAGGATCCCTCTTCTGGTGATTTGGCTGTTCAGTGTCACATGTTATCTTGCAAATCAGTAAGTCAAATATTTCGGATTTCGGCTGGTGCAAAATAATAAAGGCCCAAATTTAGATTTGGTCTCTGTTACTGTTGAGATATGTGAGAACCATTATTAAAATTTTAAGGGTGAAATTATTGTAACGGATTTTATCGGATTAATTAATTTTAAAAATTAAGTTGAATTGGTTTAAAATAGATAAGTGGGACAGTATTTGATCAGTGTCGGATTAATAAACTAGACAATTAATAAATTTTAATATTATTTTATTTAATCCACAATTATTAATCTAATTTTTTTTCTCCATCATTTTCCACCGTCTCCGTGCCACTCAATCCCTCTTTCTCTCCCTTCTCCGTCCCACAATATTAGGATTTTGGCTGATACAAAATAATAATGGCCCAAATTTAGGCGGCGGCGATTCGTCAGGGGCTTGAGATGTGCGTTCAAAGTAATCTTCCGGAGTCAAGGGTGGTGCTAGAGGTGGAAACCGATTCGAAATGACTGATTCAAATGTTCAATAAGGAGATTCCAGCGGACGTGTCAATGGAGGTTTATTTGGTTGATATTTGGGCTATGGTGCCTTCTTTCCACTTGGTGAAGTTTATCTTCGCTCCTCGTTAATGTAATCGTGCAACTCATATGGTGAAAGCGTATATTCATAAGCATGATGGAAGTTTTGGCTGAGATGAGTTAGGACCATAATTTCTGTTTATTATCTTGGCAGAAGATGCAAATGTTTTCATTTGTATTTGATTGATCAATAAAATTCTCTTTCGAAAAGAAAAAAAAAAAAGATTTGATCTTTGCAATTGTTGAGATATGTGAGAACTATTTAAGAATATAATTGTGCACTTCGACCAAAAAGAAAAAAAAAAAAAAAAAAGAATATATTTGTGCACCTTTTTTTTAAATATAAAATATGCAATTAAAATTTTAAAGTGTTAATAACAATTCCATATAATATTTTACATGTAATTTTTTCTTTTAATACACCTCCATGCAAAATGAGGTTTGAAGATCCGCAAGCATTGGCACATCAAGTGATCTAAGCCACTCCTCAGTTATATCCTTCCACATCTCCACAATTTTTTTTGTTTAAACACATCAATTGCAGGTTCCTCTTGACTACCCATATTCCTTCATGTAGCAATCCATACTAGGTGCAGCATGCTCCCTATCTTCGTCAAACTGGATGACCAACACCAAATACATTTTTGGTTACTAAATAATTACTCTCAATTATATATAATGTATATGTGCATGGTTATTACAAAATTAATGTGGTTTAATATTCAATGTCAGAACGTTTGCTCAAAAAAAAAAAAAAAAGTCAGAATATGTTATACCTTGTAGCCACCATTGTCATTCATGAGCCTGAAAATGATACGGGAAGCACTAAGAATTTTAGGGCTATTGAAACCACTCATATACCTGACTCATTACAATATCTCCCATGCCACCCAAAGATATGTTTGAAACTAACATGTTACCAACAGAAGCTGTCGCAACACGCATATTGTCCATGCAGTAGGGGTGCATTCTTCGTATAACAATCTAGCTTCCTCAAAGAAAGCTTCGGCAGTTGCTTTTGTTGAGAATGAGTCTCACATTGATGGGAGGAAAGACATTGCATGAGCTTATAAGTAAGTTGGACTACTCCCCATATTGCTAATTGGTTTTATGGTGGAATCTCAACTTTTTTCATGGTATTAGAGTCAAGGAGCGGACTCATGCTATATTGTCACGTGATGGGTGGGTCTCCTTGGCCCTGCGCGATGATGGATGGGTCCCTTTGGCCCCGCATGTAGGGTGAGTCCCCTTGACTTCACGTGGTTGCTGATGTGTGGATCTCCATGTGTGACCCACAAAATGGGGTCCCAAGCGTGGGGGCGTGTAGAATCCCGCATCGGTCATAGGGAAAGGAGAAAACCAATTTAAATAGGATTACCCCACTTTAACTAACACCGATGACTTTTGTGATAAAACTCCACACATGACAAATTGTGTAGGTGGTAGTTAGGGATAGTATTGGTGTTGTTAGAAGTGAGTCTTCGGCCCGTCTCTCTGAATAGTAGGTTGTATCTATGTATCCTTGATTTCAAAGGAGACAGGAACCTCCGTCTGGTAGATGAACCATGATTGTGGTATCAGAGTAGGTTGTCCCACGTGCAAGGGCAAACAGCCACACGCACTCCACGTCACCCCGTTGTGTTGTCTACGTGTTAGGCTTGAAAATTCGCCACATATGAGGGGGCGTGTTGAGAATGAGTCTCACATTGATGAGAGGAGGGACCTTACATGAGCTTATAAGTAAGTTGGATTACTCTCCATATTGCCAACTTTCTTCAGATTTCCACTATATGCGACAAAACATACATAGAAAAAACGAAAAATTCACGGTCCATTAAAAAAGTCAGGTTAAATTTCACAAAAATAACATTTAAATTTTTGTTTAGAAATTTTAGTTTTCAAAAAAAAAGTGAAAACAAAAGCTGAATAATTGAAAATAAAATGGTTATCAAATGATACCTAATTAAATTATTTGAAGTAAAAGATAATCATGGGGACATAGGTATGGAATTCAATTTTTTCTAATCAACTTGTAATCCAAGTTTTGACTGCAATATATAGCATATAACTAAAGAAAAAAAATGTCTTTTCGGGGACATTTGATAAAATTGTAACAATACAGAGAAGATTAGCATAGCCCCTACATAAGGTTGACATGCATAAATCGAGAAATGGTCCAAATTTTTTGTATTTGGGTAGATAAACCTCCTATTATAATCAATGATCTTATTGTGAATGATGTTTATTTACCTTGTACTAGTTAGTCTTCCTGGCTTTTATGAAATATATGCCGTTCTTTAAAAAAAAAAAAAAAAAAAAAAAAAACTAAAGAAATGTTAAATATCATACAAGAAATTTAACTTGGTAAAAATCAAAGGGGTTGTCCACTAATGACTTTTGATTACAGAGTTAAAAGAAACAGAGAAAACTCTACCAAAATTTGGTAAAATCTTTCGACTAATGAAATTTAATTGTAAAGAAAACTAACAAAAAGTTCAAAAAAAAAATCCTTTTAATGAAAAACCATTTTTAAAGGTATAGTAAATATTATCAGGAAAAGATATAAATATGGTTTTTCGTTAAAAGTGAACAGTAACGAGAATGTTTTGTTAAACCTCCCTTGATTGTGTTGTTCAATGATCAATCCACGATTTCAAATCACAAGTCCGTTCTTTATCGGCCTCCCTGTGTGTGTTTTTTTTTTTGGGTCAGTCTTTTTTTTCTCTTCTCATTTGGGCAACGGATTGAGTAATTGAGTTGAGTCTCCATTTGCTTTTCTTTGATAATTTCTCTATATGCTATTTGTATATATGAAGTTGAGCATTGTGCCTTTGCCTCACACACTATTCAAGCCTTCGTGGTGTTAAACTTTTTTTTCTTTCAACAACTAATGTCGTTCATGAAATTTGAATTTAGATTTTCTTTGAAGTTCAAGTTTCTCAAAAAAGTTTTCTTCTCAGTAAGACTCCCATAGTGCGCTGAATAAGTAATATCCTCTCACTGAGTAATTTGATTCTCGTTCCCACCCCTTCTTCTTTGTTGCGGTTATCAATATCTATATGGGAGGAATTAAGTTCTCGAATATGGTAATACCCTTCAAAGTGGCAATAAGATGATGAAAATGGATGTAATCTGTTGGAAGTTTTGAGCCCCTTTGCTTTGACTGAAATGTTTTTCAAAAGTTTCCTCATGAGTGTCACCATTTTGTTCGCTTACTTCTCAATTTTTTTTATACAAATTATATGGGGGAGGAGAAATAGACATAGGATCTTGAGGGCACAAATAAGTACTCTTAAACTACAAGCCTCTTACGGAAAAAATGGGTTAGAAAAACATAAGCACACCAACTTCACAATTCAATCAGCATCATAAAACTGTTGTTAGTTGCAGAGTTAGAGTTAACTAAATTGGCTAAAACAATATGCTTCATCATTTGCATTTAAGTTCAAATCTTTCCCTCTGTAATTGACAGTAAAATACGACAAATTTGACTGTAGACTGTTGTTAAAAATGCACGAAACTTGTAGTTGAAGTGTGTCACATCCCGACCTAGGCGAGACCACTTCCCAGGCCCGCTCCACCACCGTAGCACGATATTGTCCGCTTTGGACTTACCATTCCCTCACGGTTTTGTTTTTGGGAACTCACGAGCAACTTCCCAGTGGGTCACCCATCATGGGATTGCTCTAGCCTCCTTCTCGCTTAACTTCGGAATTCCTACAGAACCCGAAGCCAGTGAGCTCCCAAAAGGCCTCGTGCTAGGTAGGGATGGGAATATACATTTAAGGATCACTCCCCTAAACGATGTGGGATGTCACAATCCACCCCCTGTAGGGGCCCGACGTCCTCGTCGGCACACCACGACCAGGGTTAGGCTTTGATACCAAATTGTCACATCCCGACCCGGGCGAGACCACTTCCCGGGCCCGCTCCACCACCGTAGCACGATATTGTCCGTTTTGGGTTTACCATTCCCTCACGGTTTTATTTTTGGGAACTCACGAGCAATTTCCCAGTAGGTCACCCATCATGGGATTGCTCTAGCCCCCTTCTCGCTTAACTTCGGAGTTCCTACGGAACCCGAAACCAGTGAGCTTCCAAAAAGCCTCGTGCTAGGTAGGGATGAGAATATACATTTAAGGATCACTCCCCTAAACGACGTAGGATGTCACAAAGTGGTTCAACGCTTTCACAGTTTCACTTTGCACCTGTAGTTTTGAGTTCACTTTCTCTCCACTATTATTTGCGTAAAAATAAAAAGACAATGAAATCAATTGAGAATATTTTCTTTCCATAAGTAGTTTGACACTCGGTCACATGCCTCCCTCACTTTTATCCGCTCGCAGTGGGAGCAAAGTGGGTGCTATTGAAAAACAATCAATAGCTAGTATGCATCATTTGTTTGTGGAACATCGTCCTACCCTGGAGTTAATCATTAAAATTAAGAAATAATAAAGAAATTTTAACGAAACATTTCTGATACTGTTTATTTTAATGAAAAATGATATTTTTATTTTAAAAAATCACTTCTGATACTATTTACTTACAATACTATTTTATCATTTTGATTAAAACTCAAAAATTTCTAACTTTTTACATTAATTTTTCTAAATAATTGGTGATGTAAAACATATTTGCTTTTATTGCTTGCCAGCTCGCTCAGACTCTGTGAAAAAGAAAACAAGAATCGTTGCTCTTGTTCGTATCCATGCTTCATCATGACCCCACAAGGGATAGCCTATTCAGAGAAGGGGGATGTTACTAACTTTTTCACTTGAATTTGTTGGTTTAACTATTTTTTTTTCTCTTATTTGTTCCGCAATGTTAGATCCGAATCGTATAACTGTTTAGGCTACTTTTTAATGGATCAATTATGCCAAAAGATCACCCCCAGTGAAATTATTTAACTGTTCCAATACAGTTGTCGAAATTTCAATGTTGAAATGAAGAACATGAATCGTTTATTTATTAGATAATTATTGAATGACTAAATAATCTTAAATTTAGTTAAATTTTTGCATAAAGTATCCAAAAAAATAGACGGAACAAATCATACGTGTAATATTATAAAATATAAAGGAGAACCGAGAAAATAAAATCAAAAAGTTGCCTTACATTCTTCTTAGGAATTATTACTTTCATTTGATGATCTTGGCCACTGGCCAGCCCCACAGACCCCTAGCTAGTCCCACTCCGAAGTTGGCATTATTAGGGAGGCATCTCCTTTATTGCCACTTGATGGTGATTGAAGTGGAATCCAATGGTTGTATTTTCTGGATTTGAATCTTTGCCCGATCGGGATTTTAGAAATCAATGCACGTGAATGGTTGGTAAAAAATCGTATGGTCATAATTTATTTTTTTTTAATATTTTTTACGTTACTTTACTTTTAAAAATATAAAAAAATTTAATCGTGATCGCACGATTTTTTATCAAAGGTCTGCGTGCGTCGATCCCTAAGGTACCGTACGTGGGACGGAACGGAACAGAGTGGGACAAGGTGTTTCGTCCCACGTTTGGTGCGCCTAAAACGGGTGAAACGAGCTGTTTCACGGGACGAGTTTTGGATGAATTTTCGTTCCACCTCACCCCCTGGAACAACTCGTTCCACATCCGTGGAACACAAAATTATAACCTCTCCGTCTCCTTCTTCTTCCTCCTTGTTTCCATCCGATGGCATCTTTCGCTTCCGCTCCGTTCCGTTCCGTCCCGTCCCGTCCCATCCCATTCCGTACCATCTGCATACCAAACGATACCTAAGCTCCCTAGGGAGGGGATCTAATGAGGATCTAAATCCGTTTTTTCTCTTCTTGAATTTTTTTTTTTTTAATTTTTAATTTTTATAAACCCTGTAAGATTAATAATTTTTTTTTAACAAATGATACTATCTTCATTAAGAGTGTAGGAATAGGCTAAACTTTACAATTGATTACCAATAATATGATTCAAAAGTGCATTTGATCAGAATTGAACCTATTCATTTACAATGAAAGAAGAATACTACTATATTATAATACTAAATGGCCCCACAAGATTAATAATTAGATAAGAAAGAAGATAGAAATGCAACGCAAAGCTCAATTACTTTTGCTATACATATAGTGCTGAGGAAGATTTGAGAGCAGATAATTATTAGGTTAAGTAAGCTATGAAGTTCTTATTCCAGTGTCCTTGCTGCTCTTGTTTCTGCTTCATGAAGCCCAAGAAGGGCAAAGCAAGGGTGAAGACGGCGGCGATGAAGGTGAGCAAGGAAGAGAAGAAGGTTGAATCCAAGGAAGAGAAGAAAGAATGACAACAATATGCAGCTACCTACAACATCAGGTTATATATGCTTATGAAACATGTATTTTGTTTGTTGATTGTTAAACTCCTCTTTAGTTCTTCAAGTTAGATTTATATTAAAAGTGTACGACCATGAATGACGAGTTCGGTATGCTAATTAACTGGCATGCATGTTCGTGTTCCGATTCTAATGTGAGAATCCTACTTGTAATATTACGGAGCTGGGGTTTCAAATGAAATCTTCCAGTAGTACTCTCTAGTGCTTTCCATTAAACATGTTTGCCTGGATAAACTAGCATATGTATAATAATATATGCTTGTAAATTTTTTTCTTCAAATTCTTGCGGATTTAAGGCTTAAGGCAGTAAGTACTCGAATGATTAGCGCATTCATCACAGTTAGAATCTCCGCAACGTATCAATGTTTCACTCGTCGCTATCATCAATATCTTAATGAACTTGGAAAATGCATCATCGGATCTTATCAAGATTGTTGAAAGAGAGTTAAATTTGCTAAAAATGTACAGTTTTTTAATCTATCTGAATTAATATATAGCAAAGAAAAGTTGTTCTTGATTCCCATGCATCATCCAAGCAAATATGCAACGGTAAATGCAGCATATGCAGATTCCACAATGATGTAAAATAATAACCAAATTCAGACAGTTCCTGCTTTACAGTCTTCTGCACCTTTTGGTATCTGGGTTGGAGATCGAATTGTATTCTAGACAGAATGAACAACTGAATATTCAAGGAAAATTCAGCTATACAAATAGGTAGGGGAGGAAAAAAATACTGAAATTCCCAAACCAAACTAAAAAAGTCCCGAAACCGAACCGAAAACATCCCACAGAGTTCAGTACCCCGGTCTTGAAAATTTTGTTACTGGATTCGGGATCCTATATGCCTTCGTTCGGTAATCCCAAAACCAAACCGAAACATTTATTAAGTGTATATATATGTTTAATTTTAAATTAAGTTTAGAAAATACGTAGATCATTGAATTGGTTGAAATTTAATCTCAACCTTTCAATGGATTCTCTCTTAGTCGTCATTAAGCAATCTGAAAGCCTCCGGCCTCTCTATCTCTCTCGGGAAATTTAAAAAAAGTAGCTAATGATCATGGATAGAATTTTAATCAACTGTCATAGTTTTTCATAATTCTAACCAAAATTTGACCTAAAAATACTATACTGCCCTTTATTAGAATTCGTGGTTCTTCGTTCGCTGCCTTTCATTTTTTTTTTCTATACATTTTTTTCAATCGCTATTTTAGTTACTTATTTTCCTCGCTGTTTTTGCAAATGCTTTCGATAATTGAATGGAAGCATTTCCCAGAAGCTCTTCTCTTCTGAAGACTTGGTATCCTGCGTCATTGAATTGCACAGGCCATTTTGGGTTAAAACTGAATGGAAACATTTCGTAGAATTTTGAATTAAAACCAGATTCTCGGATTAATACCTCCGGTGGGTTCTTAATCTTGGTGATCTGGTCTCCCTGAGAAGCTACACTTAAAACCAAGAATCCTTCCGGTCTGTCCACAGACTCAATAAACCCGTACCCAGCAGCTTCTGTAGCAGCATCAGAGCACAAGATAGCCCTTCCAAACTGTGAGCCAAAACCCAGAGATTAGTATACAATTAGAGAACACCCAGAGACCCAGTTTTCCTTCACTGCAATTTCAGTTACGAACCTCTCTGCATATACACCATGTTTCATTGTAAGACCCAGTTGCAGAAGAAGCCCAGAACTCCAAAGCTCCAGAAATTGAAAATATTCAGAGTTCAGCAGGAAATTCCGGATCTTTGTCCAAAAGCTACATCTGACCAATAGGTTTAGTGGCTGTAAGCCATGGTGGGAACGCAGTCGAGCACAGCAAGTGTGAACTCCACTAAAAGGACATTGCGGTATTTTTATGTTAATTTTGGTTAGAATTATGAAACTTTATAAGTGTTGGTTAAAAATGTCTATTTATGGTCAAATTTGTGGTTATTTCTCCATATATTTTATCTCTCTCGAGGTCTCTCTGTTCACTCCGCCTCTACCTCTCTTTCCCCCACCTTCTCCGAGTATCGATTCCGACCACCACACCATACCCTCTCCTCTCATCTCCCTCCAGCCACCACGGTCCACACCATACCCTCTCTCGAGTTCTCGACTCTCATATCTCTCTCTTCCTCCCTAATTGTTCATCTCTCGAACTCTCCTCCTTCCTTATTCTCCACATTTGTCAGTCCACGGCGCCGTGGGTGTCCTCCAAAGCCACCACCACCGTCGCTCCCATGGTTGTTACGTTTCTTTGATTTGAATAATGGATACGAACAAATTTGAATTTGAACCTCTAGATTTCGGGATTCAAAGGTGGAATTAGGGTTTTTATTTTTTTGGTTTGGGATTTTGATGCAGGTTTCAATTGAACTAATCACGAGCCTCCATTTACAAGAAGGCAAATAGGAATTGAAATCTCGAACCGTACCAAAATTCCGAAAATTTTTCAAGAATCCCAAAACTAGAAAATACCGAAATTTCGGTTCTGGGTTTTGGTTCCGAAATCCCCTTTTAAAAGGGATCAATTCAGTATTCAAGTGTTGGGTTTTAGCTCGGGATCTTGATCCGAACCAACCCTACAAATAGTTATTTACCTTTAGGGATTTTTTATTTTTTTTGAATAAAAGATATTATATGCACTAAATGGGTGAAGAGTGGGTTAAGTTTTATAATAAATTAGTAATAATAAGGTTCAAATTTGTCTTCAATGAGGATTAATCTAAAGCATCTCACTTAAAAGTGAAGAGGAATATCATTAGATTATAATACTAATTAGATATATCTTTAGTTCAATCTTATTTTTTTAATAAATAATATTATTTACACTAAGGGACGTGAGGATGTAGCATTAGAGTCTAGTAGTACTTTACTCTCAATTTGTAAGTGAGATATTTCAGATTCGATTCCATGAGCGGCAAGTTTGATACTTATTGTGGAGCTAAAATTAATCCAAAAATCTTAGAGTTGACTCGTGAACTTTTATCTGCATATGACAAAGATGCGCTTGTTAAATTGGTAAGACCCACATTTATTCCACGCTACAACTTCTTGAAAACTTGAGCTACTAACTACGATTTCTCCAAACACTCATGTCCAGGAGAAAAGTCAAAGGTATTAAAGATGATTAATAATTAAATCATTATCTTTATGCCTTCCTTATTAAAGATCCAGTCAATCAAGCAAAAAATCACAATCAAATGGATCACAAAGGATAATTCTAGGATATTATTTAATTAATAATATCTTGGAATAATTCTTTCCTACTACATCCAATAGATGAAAGTGACACACTTTGGCCAACTGGACGTTGGCACATGGCATGACAATTCTTGCAGACACACATTGACCAATTGAACATCGACACATGGCATGTCAATTTCTACACATGTGGCCGACTATCTCCCAATAAATACCTCATTCTCCATCAAGTTTCAATAAATTTTTGTTGCGCAATTCAGTTCTCAATTATCTTTTTTTAGAGAAACTCACTTAAGCATTAGAAATTCATCGGTCAAACCCTGCACCCCCCCTCAGTGGGCATGTGGCTTTGGTTATTGATTAAAGATATTTAATTATTTTATAGATATAAATTTATCAAGACTGAATACCATGAATTTTTGCCACCACACCTATTATTAATTGTTTTGGTGAAAAAATTCAATTTATTAATCAGACAGTCAAGGTATTAATACTTTGCCATTAAAAAGAGACAAACTGCCATTTTTTTTTAAGGTGCAATCAGAGTCTGTTGACTAATCATATTATAAAACGAATACGGCATCAATTCTGTTGACTAATCAGATAATCAAAAGACGACTGCCTTCTATTACTTAAGCAAGAGTTGTCATGAACCAGCTGGGTTATTATATAGATCCCCTAAAGTAGAAAAACCATTGTATGAATAAATCAAAAGAAAATTTAGGAAAATTTTAATGATAAAGATAAAATAAAGGGTAAAATAAATAGTACCAGAATTGATTTTTTAATGTAAAAATATGTTTTTTGTTATAATAAACAGTACCGAAAGTTTTTCATTAAAATTCTCGTAAGTCAAAGCATAATAACGTGAAAGAAATATAAAGTTGTGCAGAGAGAAACAGAATTCAGTACCTAAACCCTCAAAAACAGCAAATGAATAAGTGAAGGAGCAAAATTGATCTCAACCACTCCACTATATAAAAATGGGACAAAACTCGGGTCAATTTACCAAATTTTAATGGAAGAATATAACGTTTGGTGAATTAAAAAGGCACATGTCTTGGTGGGCAACATTATTGAATTTTGTTTTCTTATACAATTCTATTTTCTCTGATTGGTTTTTTATTTTTTATTTTTATTTTTAATTGGAACCATGAATTGACATGATATGGACATCACATGCCGTATTATATGAAGCTGATGATGTGATTTCACGATTGTAGTAACCGAGTAACCATAGTTGACGGTCGACTAATAAAATTCTAGTTGCAGACTTGGTTAGTGTGGGATGGCGAAAATATGCCTCTTTCTTTCAAACTTTCTTTAATTATTTTATTTTTACTGTTTTTCCATCCTATGATAAATAATAATGCTCTCTTTTGAAATGCTAATTAAAAAAAAGGGTATTTGAACATTTTGAAAAGAGTTGTTTTATTAACACACCACTTATTTTTCTATATTACCCTCATTGTTCACATACATTCAACATTTCCTTATTGTTCATTCTCACCACACCTCTAAATTTCAAGACTCTCATTAAACATGTAAATGCTAATTATAAGGTCAACTATATGACATTCGATTGTTGGTTTATGTTACTGGGAGAGCACAAATCCAAAATTTGCATCCCTTTCTGTTACTCATCTAGAGTCAATCTCACAAAATTTTGATCCAAAATTTTAAATATGAGTGTATAAACATTGTAAAAAAATGTGCGGAATGGAATAGAAATCCCAACCACTTGGTGTCAGACGGATTTGTTGTACTCAATTCATGTTGCTTGCCTCCATTCCTGCCTCAAAACCATCAATCGCATGTAAGTTTTTGTCTAAATATTTTTGTTTTTATTGATACAGAATACTATGTGATGGTGTACCCGTTTGTTATCCTGGAACGAATGGCCGGTCAAGGTGGCACCGTGGCAGCTTCTGTCCCTTTTTTTATATATTGCCTCACCCTCCCCATCTCTTTATCTAAAAACTCACTCATGTGAGATCTTGACAATTCCAGATATGAATAGGTGTCCATATCGACATTGCAGAGCAGAAGAAAACTTGAAGGACTAGACAACAATGGAGAACGGAGACATGGTAGCAAACACTAATAATACGATGCCGTTGTTGGAGGCAGGTGGTCATGGAGGAGCAAAAGGGGGGTGGTGGAACAAGGTGCTGGACGTGGAGGAGGCAAAAAATCAGGTGTTGTTTTCGTTGCCAATGATTCTGACGAATGTTTGCTATTACATGATCCCTTTGATTTCGGTCATGTTTGCCGGCCATCTTGGTGAGCTTCAGCTTGCCGGTGCAACCCTCGCCAATTCTTGGGCCACCGTCACCGGCTTCGCTTTCATGGTAAGGTGATTCTCTCACTCTCTCTGTATATCATGTTCTCTCCATGTATGTGTTGTTAGGAAAACTAATTGAACAGTAATCAAGAATACACAAATAAAACTGGTTACGAACTTTTAATAAAGATTACGATTGGAGACACAAACAAACAATAAAGAAATACTAAATCGTGATTTATATGTGGCTTATTCTTTGTTATCAATTAATCATCTGTGATATTTACCCAGCTCAAGCTTTTTAATCAATAGATTCATCGGTCAACTCTTGAGTTGATTGAATTAATATATGTATATAACTAACTATATGCATATATAGAACATTAGAAATTATAAATAAAGTAATTTATAACTTCATTCACAAAATGAAACTCTCTTTGAATCACTTTGGAATAAAATTGGAAAATAAGTTTGATTGTTTTTTATTGTATCGAAATATCGAATCCAGCCTTTTTTAAATTTCTTACGTAACATAGTGATAGTGGACAAATAAATATAGGTCAATTTATGCAATATAGAACTTCTTCAATTTCAACAAACTTATAAAAAAAAATTCACTTTTATTAGATTAAATGGAGCAAGGTTCTATTCTATTAGTATAGAAAGGGTTTGCATAATATCTGATTAATAGAATTCCACGAGTGAATAGAAAGTTGGATTTACAGTGGATCTCACTTGAATCGCTCCATCTTCATCCAGTTCAATTTTTGTTTAATAGTTTGTAACCAGATTTCTTCGTGCATATTAGTGTATACGGTTTTTAGAGTATTGCTTTCTTAAAATATGTTTTCCATGGCTGTTTCAATTCACTTGCTTTGTCCTTCAATTTTTCTAAATCAAGCGTTCTGCTTCTTTTTGTTTTTTTGTTTTTGGTACTTTAGAAAGGCAAAGAATAGTGCCAATTAATAGACTGCAGGCCTACTCTTTGAACTGTTTTCTTTGTCTATTATTCTTTCTTGGTTTAGGTTGGATTAAGTGGAGCTCTGGAAACGTTGTGTGGGCAAGGATTCGGCGCAAAGTTATATAGAATGCTGGGGATTTATCTACAAGCCTCTTCCATCATTTCTTTCCTGGCCTCTATCATTGTATCCGTAGTCTGGTTCTATACAGAACCAATACTTATCTTAATTCACCAAGACCCTCAAATCTCAAAATATGCAGCGCTTTATATGAAATTTCTGATTCCGGGGTTGTTTGCATATGGCTTCCTGCACAATATTTTGAGATTTCTTCAGACGCAATCCGTTGTCATACCATTGGTCTACTTCTCGGTGATCCCAGTGGTTCTTCATGTTGGCATTGCGTATGGCCTGGTACGTTGGACAGGTCTTGGTTACGTGGGAGCTCCGCTGGCAGCTTCGATTTCAATATGGATATCAATGCTAATGTTGGCCACGTACGTTTTGTGCGCAAAGAAGTTTGAGCATACGTGGGAAGGGTTTACATTAGAATCATTTAATTACGTCCTCACCAACTTCAAACTTGCCCTACCCTCTGCAGCAATGGTATGGTAAGTGTTCTTCAATTTTTCTTTACTCTTTTTCAGAGTATGTGAGATAGAATCTGTAAGTATTCATGTCTTCATTTTTTTCGTCTTTCCAGTTTGGAGTATTGGGCCTTTGAGATTCTGGTGTTCATGGCAGGAGTAATGCCAAAAGCTGAACAAAACACTTCCCTAATTGCAATCTGGTAAGCATTCGGCTAGCTCTAAACTTATAATTTTTCGCTCGATCGACTCAAGTAGATTTTTCCTAATCTAATCATATCTTCAGTGTGAATACAGAAGCAATTGCATACATGATTACATATGGCCTCAGTGCTGCTGCAAGGTTGGTAGAACAATAAATTCCAAGTTTAACTAATCACTTCGGGTTTTTCGATTCTACATTCTGTTTCACACATTGAATCAAATATTACTTTTTTCTTGCTTGTAGCACAAGGGTATCAAATGAATTGGGAGCAGGCAATCCTGAGAAAGCCAAGAATGCAATGGCTGTGACTCTTAAGCTCTCTGTACTTCTCGCACTCATCGTTGATCTGGCTCTGGCATTTGGTCACAATTTATGGGCCGGCGCCTTCAGCGACAGCAGCGTAATAATAAAACTATTTGCTTCCATGACACCGTTGCTTGCAATTTCTATAATTGCTGATTCTTTCCAAGGCGTCTTATCAGGTCCGAATCATCATCCACTTCTATTAGGGGTTGTCCATCTGCTACTTTGCATTTGAACTTATTCTCTTTGCCTTCTATTTCTCGAGTATCTATGAGAGCGAATTTTCGGTATTTCAGGTGTGGCCAGAGGATGTGGGTGGCAGCACCTGGCTGTGTATGTAAACTTGGGAACATTCTATTTGGTTGGCATGACAATTGCAGGTGTTCTTGCATTTAAGTTGAAACTATATGCTAAGGTGAGACCATTAAACTTGTAGCTTAATTTTACACCCCCATAGGATTGAACCTTGGGTTTCCAAAATAGTGTAAAAAGAAGTGTTTCGAATCACTGCTGTTTGACGCAGACCTGTTATAAAAAAGTCCGGGCATCTGCACACTCAGTACTAACATTATTAATTCTTTAGCTGAACACAGAAGTGGAACAAGCAGCTAGCTAGTAGATGATTTTTTTTTGTTTATGTATCTAACTCAGTTCACATTTTGTGCTTGATTTCTTCTGGTGCAGGGGTTGTGGATTGGTTTAATCTGCGGTCTTTCTTGCCAAACTGTCCTACTTTTGGTGGTCACGCTGCGCACAAAATGGACTCAACTGGATTTACCTCGTAACGCAGATGCAATTTTGGTCTAAATGGTCACACAAAACTAGTTCACAACGTAGACCGCAATGGCAACCATTTTAGACTAGATTATGGAATTTTGAGGAAGTTATATATTGCAGAGAAAAATAGTGTCTGGATGCTGGAGAAGATGCATGCATGTTTCCATTAACTGGTTGTTCTGGCAAGCAATTTCCTATAGCAGGTAGGTAGGTGACTTCAATAAGAGAAATTCACTTACTATTTAATGAAGATTAATAAAAAGGATCTGATTTGCCGAGCACTTTTGCATCTTCAACGAATGTCACGCGTGACTGTCTTAATCTTTATAGCGATGACTACAAGAGTACGCGTATAATATCCCTTAAAGATAATATAGCAAAGGAGATTTTAGTAGTGAGCTATATTTGACATTAAAAAAAAAAAAAAAAAAAAAAACCAGCTGGTTGCTTGATAATCTATTATTTTGGAGGCCGAAAAAACTTACAGAAATATTTTAGCCTCCCACTAACCATTATTGTGCAATCCACCAACAAAACTCAATCATATGCTCATAAGAATCACAGAATAGGATTGTGATATATTGTATATTATTCAACAACTAGGTTTACAGCTTTATACAACCATTCGGTCAATGAGATCCTAAACTATTGCCTACAAGTAAGGCTTGATCAGAAACTAAATAGGAAAGGAAATAACTACAATATCAATTTACAATATTGACTAAGTAATAGAGATATTTTCCTTAACACTCCCCCTCAAGTTGGAGTGTATGTTAATGACACCCAACTTGCCAAGTAGAACTTCGAACTGTGTTGAACTCAACGGCTTAGTGAATATATCAGCTGGTTGATCATTGGTCCGTATGTAAGCCGTGCGTATCATTCCTTCTTGAATCTTTTCTCGTACTAGATGACAATCGATTTCTATGTGCCTTGTTCGTTCATGGAAAACAGGATTTGAAGCAATGTGTAATGCTGCTTGATTGTGACAAAACAACTTGACTAGCTGAGAATGATTCACTCTTAGGTCCTTCAAAATATTCTTCAGCCATATGATTTCACAACATGTGGTGGCCATGGAACGGTATTTAGCCTCTGCACTCGAACGAGATATTGTTGTTTGTTTCTTAGTTTTCCAAGAAATAGGTGCGTGACCGAGCAAAACGCAGTACCCCGTTATCGACCTTCTAGTATCTCGACATCTAGCCCAATCAGCATCACAAAATGCTTGTAACTGCAATGAGCCTGTGGAAGGAAGAAAAATCCCTTGACCAGGTGCTTGTTTAATGTACTTGAGAACCTTGTGCGCAGCATCAAGGTGTGGTTGCCGAGGTTTCTCCATGAACTGACTTAGCATGTGAACAGCATAAGCCAAGTCAGGCCTTGTTATGGTCAAGTATATTAACCTCCCCACAAGTCGTCTATACGATGAAGGATCATTCAGCTCCTTTCCTTCCATTTGTGTGAGTGACAAATTCGGATCCACAGGGAACCGAGAAGGCTTAACGCCTAGAAATCCAACATCTTCCAATATTTCGAGAGCATATTTACGTTGACATATAGTAATTCCATGCTTTGATCGTGCAACTTCTATTCCCAAGAAATACTTGAGTTGCCCCAAGTCTTTCAGTTTGAAACGCTGAGAGAGGAACTGCTTGGTTTCTTCAAGTTCATGCAGATTATTCCCTGCTAATATCACATCATCAACATATACTAGTAAAGCAATGAAGTTACCATGACGACTTCGGACGAATAATGAATAGTCGGACCGTGATTGATGAAATCCAGCAGCCTTCAGAGCATGGGATAACTTAATGAACCATTGCCGTGAAGCTTGCTTCAAACCGTAGAGGGATTTATTCAACTTGCATACTCGAGTCTCCCCCTTTCGTTCGAAACCAGGAGGCAAGGTCATGTAGACATCCTCGTCAAGATCACCATTTAAGAAAGCATTGTTGACATCTAGCTGATGAAGATGCCAACCTTGTATAGCGGCGACACTGAGAAGCACACGAACTGTGGTTAACTTGGCGACAGGAGCAAAGGTTTCTCGGTAATCAACACCTTCAATTTGACTGTAACCCTTGGCAACGAGGCGGGCTTTGTACCGGTCAATGGTGCCATCAGGTTTGAGTTTGATCTTGTAAACCCATTTACAACCAATGAGACGTTTGTGCAACGGCAAAGCCACGAGTGTCCATGTATGATTGGCTTGAAGAGCAGCAATTTCATGTTGCATGGCATCACGCCAGCGGGGATCACGGATGGCCTGTGAAAAACTGGTAGGTTCTCTGAAGAGGGAAAGATTAGTGGTGTAGGTTTTATGCTGAGAGGAGAGGCGGTCGTAGGACAAATAAGTGGAAAGAGGGTGAGAAGTACCTGAAGATGAAAGAGCCACGTTCATAGAAGATGTGGGAGCAGGCCTGGACGGGAGAGCAACCTCGACATGAAAGTCCTGCAAAAAGGAAGAGGGTTTTGTGGGGCGGGTGCTACGTCAGGGTGGAGTGGGGGGGACAGTTTGAACTGGAGAATGAGAGGGTAGGATTGTGATGTCAGGAGATGGTGCAGGTGGTGGTGTAGAAGGTGGCGAAGGAGAAGAGGGTGTGTGGGGGGGGTGAAGGCGCGGGTGATGGAGAATGAGGCTCGGATAATGTGGAAAGGTCAGTGGAGGGGGTAGGTAGTAGTGGTCGTGGGACAGGGAAGGGATCTTCAACAAAGGGAGATAAGTGGTGGGTTGGGATAGTGGACTGTGGTTGAGCAGCAGAAGTGTCAGAATGATAAGGGAAATGGTTTTCGAAAAAGAGCACGTCCCAGGAAACAAAAATTTTGTTAAGATGAAGATCAAAAAGTCGATAACCCTTTTGGCCATATGGGTACCCAAGAAACACACAATGACGGGCACGAGGATCAAATTTGGAAGGTTTATATGCGTGAGTGGAAGCAAAACACAAGCAACCAAAAACACGTAATTGGGTGTAACTGGGTGCTGTTTGGAACAACATTTCATAAGGTGTCTTCCCATGGAGAAGAGGTGTGGGGGTGCGGTTGATGAGATAGGCTGAAGTGAGTATGGCGTCCCCCCAAAAACGTTTTGGCATGTTGGCTTGAAAAAGCAAAGCTCGGGCAACATTTAATAAATGTCGATGCTTACGTTCAGCAACACCATTTTGCTGTGGTGTGTGAACGCAGCTGGTTTGATGGACAATGCCTTTCGTTGCATAAAAACTATCAAGTTTAAACTCGGGACCATTATCACTACGAATGATTTTGACTTTAGTATTAAATTGGGTTTCAACCAAGTGAACAAATTGCACAAGAAGCTGCTGTGTGTCAGATTTATATTTCATGAGGTAAATCCAGGTGCTCCGAGTGTAATCATCAACGATAGTGAGAAAATATTTTGCACCAGAAATAGAAGGAACGTGATATCCCCCCCAAATATCAACATGTATCAATTCAAAACAAGATTTAGTGGATATGGAACTTAGAGAAAATGGTGCTCTTGTTTGCTTGGCTAAAGGACAAATGACACACTTATTTGAATCACAAAAACTGGATTTAAAAAAAGGAAATGACATAGAAACAGTTTTGGATGGATGGCCGAGGCGTTGGTGCCAAAGGTGATGATTGGTTGTGCTAATGGTGTTGCATGTTCCTTTCTTTGATGGGTCGAGATAGTAGAGGCCCCCCCGTTCAATTCTCGTCCCAATTATCTTCCCCGAGCGTAGGTCCTGTATGACACAAAACTGTTTTAGGAAGATGGTAATATAAAGGGAATCGTATGCGAGTTTGCTAATGGATATCAGATTTAAGGTAAAGAATGGGACACACAAAACATTATCAAGCACAAGTGTGGGAGAGAAGACCACTTGTCCAATGTGAGTGACCGTGGCAAGGGAACCATTTGGAAGTTCAATAGTGTGATTTGTAACTGGCCTCGATGATGTGAGATAATGAGGACTGCAAACAACGTGGTCCGTTGCACCACTATCCAAGATCCAAACATTTTTAATGCCATTATGCATGAAGGAAAATGCTTTACCTGAGAGTTCTTCATGAGTCGAAGAGTTACCCACGTGATTTGCAAATGAGGAACGATTTTTGTTTAACATGGCAAGGATCTGCTTACAATCTTCTTGGGAAAAGGGAAAGCTTGGCATCCCATCTTTCTTGTCATGCACGGCAACTTGATTGCCCTTGGAAGTTGATGAACGGCTTTGTTCAGTTTCAGCAGCTGCTTTGCGTTTGCGGCAATATTCGAAAGTATGACCTTTCCAACCACAGAAATTGCATTTGAGATGGGCACGACAATTTTTGGTGATGTGGTTCGTCTTGTTACATTTGCCACAGCGAGGACCACCATCCTCGGTTTCAGGCTCGCGTCCACCATGCTTTACAGCAAAAGCTGCTGCTTCAGGTTGAGGGGTATTTTTTCCACTTGAGACTTCCGCCTGCTTCTCATGGCGAAGAACAAGAGAGTAAGCTTTGTTCACTGTGGGTAAAGGCTCAAGGAGAAGGATATTACTACGGACAGTGGAAAAGGAATCACTTAAACCCATGAGAAATTTTATTGTTTTCTGGGTCTCAACATAAGAGATGATTTCCTTCTTTGTATCGCAGCCACATGCAGGAATGGAACATAGTACGTCACGCTCGTCCCACAAGCCCTTTAGTTTGGTAAAGTATGAACTCACCGTCATGTTACCTTGTACACAATCATGGATCTCGTTTTCTACATGAAATAATTGAACGATATTTGCATGAGAAAACCGTTCTTGTAGATCAAGCCACATCTGCCTTGCATCCTTGCAGTTGATGACGCTGCTTGAGATTTCTTTTGACATGGATCCTAAGAGCCATGTTTTAACCAGATTATTGCAGCGATTTCATTGCTGCAATTCTTCATGTTCATCTTCACTCGGCTTCTTGACAGTCCTATCAACAAGCCCTAATTTGTTCTTGACCGTTAAGGCCATGGTCATGGATTGAATCCATGTACTGTAATTATCTTCCACCAATGGCTGCGGCACAAGTACTGCACCGGGTTGATCTGAATGATGGAGATAAAGTGGGTGGTTAGGACTCTCCCACTTTAGATGTGAAGTCATGCTCGAGGAAGTTGACTTCGTGTCTGCGTTATCACCCATGGCTATGGTTTGCTAGGGTTGTTTTGGTGTTTGTGTGTTTGCTGTTTATTTTCCCAGATATCAATCACTCTGGTACCATCATAAGAATCACAGAATAGGATTGTGATATATTGTATATTATTCAACAACTAGGTTTACAGCTTTATACAACCATTCGGTCAATGAGATCCTAAACTATTGCCTACAAGTAAGGCTTGATCAGAAACTAAATAGGAAAGGAAATAACTACAATATCAATTTACAATATTGACTAAGTAATAGAGATATTTTCCTTAACATATGCAAGGTCATATTTGATTTTAGATATAGCTCTACAGGTAAAAGTAAAACCCCACATTAGAAGATTCAAAAATTATATTAAAGGCTTAGCCACTTATTATTATGGCAAGTTCATTATAAAGTTTAGTCCATTGCTCTATTCTTTTGTATATACTATTGTTTGTTAAAATACACACACAAACACACACACACTTCTCTGCCCTCCTACTCCCCATACACTTTCATCGCCTCCTATTTTGTACGGTCACGGTTAAGCCACGTCAACATTTTATATTGATTTTTTTATAGAGATAATAAGACAAAAATCAATAGTAATATAAAATGTTGACGTGACTTAATTGTGACTGTACAAATAGAAGATGATAAGAGTGTATGGGAAGTGGAAGGGCAGAGAAGCCAAGTCCTGAGAGAATATGAGTTGTAAGTGCATGTTGAACACATGGCAGAAGAAAGCAAACAAACAATCAAACAAAAAGACAGCAGCGACTTGACTCTAGCTGGACAGATTTTCAATGTAGGTAGAACATGGAGTGTTAAATCATATGTCATTATATTAGTGTAGCTAAATTTTCTTTTAAGTGTGGCCTAGATCTAGTGTTCCAATCATTCTAAAAAATCTCTCCCGAAATGAAAAAAAGCATCTAAGTAGAAAAACTGAGTAACAGCTGCAGGTCGAAAATTATGACTCTGATTCTCTCTCACTTTAATTAAGAACCATAAAAAAGTTGCTGTTTGTCGAAATTTTGAAATCTTCTTTCTTCTTTTAGTAAAATTAAGCAGCCAGTTGGTACTCTCGAATTCTTGACGACACGCACGGTTGGTTCAAATGGCTAGGAAGCCAAAGAAACCATCATTTTTCAAGATCCTCTTTGGTGACTTCTCTCTGGGTCTGGTAAAATCCATCCTCCCTTCCTCTTCACTTTTCAACATCTTAACTTTTTTTGTTTGTGTCTTTTATTTTTCACTTTTGTGGGTTCTTTTGGATAACCATCATGGACAAATTTGTTCGTGCTTTTTATTTATTTATTTATTTATTTATTTTTTTTTTTTATAATTTTGTGGATTCCTTTTCACTTTTCTGCATGTGTTAGATTAAATTTCTGCAGAAAATTGATATCCCTTTCGTGGTTCATGCGTGAGTTCAGGGTTTTTTGTTCTTTGTATCTTTGTGAAAATTATTTAATCAAATATTATGGATCCCCAAATTTTCAACATTACTCTGAATGTTAGCAACAATGGTTATTATTTCATCAACTGTAGTCAAGTTCACAAAGATTTGGTTAAATAATTTCCAAATGCTTGATTATTTTTGTTTGACATTAATTACCATGTTATACAACTCGAATTCTGTTTGCAATAATTTTTCTGATTTGATCTGTCAAATTACAAACAATATTTGTGAATGTGATCTTAAGTGCATTGGTTATTCAATTTTGTAGCGTATACCACCTACGTTTATTAGGAAGAACTTCAATAGACGACCACTTTGCAAATGTGACCTTAGAGGCCCTACCGGAATACGAAGAACTGTGGAATTGGAAGACAGGGAGAATGGCTTATTCTTCCGCAATGGTTGGCAGGGTTTTGTGAAGGACAATCATTTAGAATCTGGGGATCTTTTGGTTTTTGATTATGATGGTGAAACAAAGTTTAATGTCAAAATCTATGATAGGAGTGCGTGCGAGAAAGATGTCGAAGCAGCCAAGATGAATACAGAAAATCAAGCTCGAGCAAAAGATGAAAATGTTGATCTTGACACTGAAAACTATAGCAAAGAGCGCGAAATCAGAACGACTAGCAGAAGTGGTAAGTTAAGCTCTGTTTTTGTTCTCTGCATTTGGCGAAGATTTGTATCTGATATCTTAACTTTTTTTCACTCCTTAAATTGTGTTTCGGATTCTGCAGGCAATTACCTCATTTCTAGGAAAAGACATTATTATGTAGAAGATACATCAACTGGATCTGTCTTGTTGAAATCAGAGAATAAATGTTTTCTAGCATTTTCATACAAGAAACATTTACTACAACGCGTGGTGAGTACTTTGTCACTCATTTCCTAATTCAATTTGTATTCTGAACAAGTTTCGCTATTGCGATTGAAAAATAGTGACAGATATCTTTGGTATACCTTTTAAAACTACAGTGGCTGCAGTGTGGCAGTTAATTGGAGAAACATTTCAAGGAACTTTTCTTCCAAATTCGACTTCTTTTTAGGGGTGGACTGTATTATAAGTTTTAGGATTGAGTACAAAGATATAGAATCGTTTACATGAAAACTCTTCTAGCTCGAATATGTTTTTCATTTTTAGTTTCACAGTCAAGTTTCAAGCGAAGTTATCCAAGATGTTCCACATTGCAGAGGATCCCGAAGCAACTAGCCGTAGATGAAGGCCTTATGTCAAAGAATACTGTAACGCTTCAAGATCCAGCTGGGCGTTCATGGCTTATTCAACTCAGAATCAGAAGGCCTAATTCTACTGATCACTTGGACATTTCAACAGGTTGGACAGACTGCGTGAAGGCGAACTGAATTTCACCCGGGGACACCATGATTTTTGAGTTTGTGAAGCAAGGTTTGATGCGTGTTCATATTTTCAAAAAAGGAGCAGTGAGAGGCAACAAGTGTCGTGTGGTGCTTGCTGGCCCTAATGTTAAAGCTGAAAGCTAGTTGATCCCAGAGTTTCACGTCACAAATTTACCATCCTTTGTAAAAATGTTGTGTTCTTGTAGCCAAGTAGTGTTCTTGTAAAAATGTTGTGACTGCAGTATCACCATTAGCTTATCTATTTTGGTTGAAGGATGACGTAATTTAATTTAATTACCCCAGCCACTCTTCTGTCTCTAAGTGCTTAGTATTTTTTTCACAGGTCTTCAATTTCTGTTTTTGATACAAGCAATGTTGGCCAATTTGATTCTGGGATCCTGAATGTAATAGTAAACTCTCTTTTCCAAAAGTATCATGACCCAAATCGGAACTCGGACGTCAAAATTGCAAATTTCTAATGCGTCCCTTCGACTTTCGTTGGTCTATTTCCTCTTCAATTCACTCAGTTATTTGTTCTACATCATTTAGATGATAAATAACTAATACATAAATGTGTTGGTGTTTATATAGGGTAAGCTAAAATAACTAGGTAACACCAATGAATGTGAATGTGTTGGTATTTAGATTCCAATTATTCAACTTTGTACAATTCTAGTTGCAGACTTGGAGTTAGCGTGGGTTGGGGAAAATGTATCTCGTTCTTTCAAATTTTCTTTAATTATATTACTTTTACTGTTTCACCATCATATGATAAATAATAATACGCTCTTTTGAAATGCTAACTAATCAAGTTTTGAAAATTCAATAATAAGGAATTTTTTTATTGTATGCCTATTTAAGAATCATAGAAAAATAGTAGATATAACCAGCAAATTTTGGAAAAGTTCAAATTTGGGAAAATGTTAAATAACGAAAAAAAAAAAAAAACAATTAAACATGAGTAAATAGAGGGAGAAAAATGTGATTATCATTTCACTTTTAGTATTCTAATTGCTTGAAATTTTGGTATGGGTTGGGTTAAGTGGAGCTCTAGAGACGCTTTGCGGGTAAGGCTTGGAGCAAAGTTGTTGTTTGGATCTAAAATTACATCATTTACTCGTGCAATTAAGGCCATTGAGTGAGTATAGTTCCACACCATCGGATGAGAAAGTTAAGATAATGTTGTTGTTGTTAGGGGATAATATTATGGTTTTTAATCATAATAATTATCTTTTAATAATGAATTGTCCCAACGTTTTCTTATGCAAGATAAATGGGATTCAAATTATGTCCAATTTGGAAGCAATAACAGAGTTCAAGTTAACTTGGGTTTGCTAGCACTGGACATGTAGATTGGGACAGCTTGGAGTAGGAGATCAGCACAAGGATATGAAGGATGGGGTTATTGGTCAAAAGAAAGGGATTGCATTTGCATGCAGCGTGAGGCCATGAAGACTTGTATTTAGAGACCTATTCCATGCAATTAAGAGTCCAATTTGAAGAAATTAGCAATATGAGTGGGGTTTGATTAATGCCGTGCATGTCCCTAATGTGCTATTGGTTTAGTGATAACAACGGGATGATCGGAGATAAAGTTGGGATTATACGTGGTCTTGATTTCACAAACAAGTTCGAGAGGATGGCAATCTGTGAAGTTATTAAGGATAATATTCTGATGAATATTATTTTTGATTGCTTTGGTGCTGCGGCAAATAATCTTTCAACATGGCCAGCAAGCAAATAGCACTATAAATACAAAGTTGCAAATAACGTGCCAACCCCTTCAAATCAACACACAAAAAGAAATATAAAATTAAAGCAGTGAAATCCGAGGACAAAATTTTACATTACTAGTGGTGTTTTATTTTTTTTGGTGTGCCGGTGATCTCCTTTGCGAGTGGAGTACTTATTCTTGCGGCTAGTCATGCTAGCCCTTCCCTTGTAAATGAATTTTAAGAAATAATTTTCGCACTCTTTTTTAAACACTCATCGATTATCTGTGTCATTTAATTCTTCTTTAAATCATAACGGGTTAAAGTCGTGCGAATACTATTTTGCATTCTTTTGGAACCTAGACGATGTTATTGGGCGGCAATTGCCTATCGGCTACTTAGTAACCGGTTTGTAGTTTTTCTTGTTTGGGCTTCGGCCTCAATTTACCTTTTTTTTTTTTTTTGTCAAATGATAAATTTTATTAAATTAGATGTTAGATTAATTACTGACGAGGTTTGAATCAACGTCGATATGCAATTGCTCAACTCATTTCTATTACTGTGGTAAATGGTCACTTGCCAGCCTCAATGTACCTTCAAAAGAACATTTTTGTAGAGAATAATGTTAAGAATAAATAAGTCTAACAACGTTTGGAAATCGAAATATAATCGTGTCAGATGATGATTTGACCATTCAATTCAATTGCATTAATTTTCTTTTGGTAAAAGGTGAGTGAATGCAATTTATTAAGCATAGATATGTTTCAAACCTACCTAAATAGTTTTTTTTTTTTTTTTTAGGTCAAAACCTACCTAAATAGTTTTATGTTCCTTTTTTTTGAAGTAAAAGTGATAATCTACGCTAACAAGCCTAGACTTGAAGTCGAAACCCGTAAATGGTTAGTTATGCTGTAAGAAAAACAAGGGGACAAAGGAAAAGGAAAACTGTAGCTACACGGAGCAGCCATGTATTCCTAGAAAGCTTTCAACTTTGAAAATCTCTGCAGGGCATCGTAGAACAGAAGGGTTCCAATGGCACGGAAGGGTCCTCGGAAGAAACAATCGTTTTTCAAGGTCCGACTTGGTGAGTGACTTCTCTAAGCATCTGGTAAAATCTTTGCCTTCTTTCTTATAAACTTCTCAAGATCAAATTTTTTACAGTCGTGCTTGCAACTTTTCTCTTCTTGTTTTTGGGTTCGTTTTCTAGATTAATCAGGAATTTGAGTGAATGTTAAAAATACCCTTTTCATGGTTTCATGTTTGGATCTACTTTTGTTTATATTTAACTACTGGTGTCGATATATTATAAAAAAAAAAAAAAAAAATTGCACTTTTAAAAACTTGTTTGGTTACTCAGAAACCGAGAGAAAAGTGAAAACTGATCCTCAGGGCTTGATCAACCGAGAATGATGACATCAATAACTTTTGGCTACTGATTTACACACACCTTTTTTCTTCCATAAACACTAATTTTTATGTCCTTTGTACACTTGCAAATCCATGATATCCTGGGAGTTGTGTAGACTTCTTTCTCCAAGGAGATTATTGGTGATTGCGATTTGATCGGATTAGAATTGGACTGCATTGGATTGTACAGAAATGTAGAGGATAACAATGATACAATTCTGTGTTTGGTACAACACATGACTAAGTAATGGATTAAAACGTGAATTAAAACGTGAGGGGGTGTTAGTGTAATGTTTCAAATGTGGGGTGATTTTGTAAAAACTCGATAAACCTCAGGAGGTGTTAGTGTAATTAACCCATTTACAAGAATGCAAATAGGAATTGAAATCTCGAACAGTACCAAAATGTCGAAAATTTTTCAAGAATCCCAAAATTCGAGAATATCGAAATTTCGGTTCAGTTTCGGGTTCTGAAATCCCTTTTTAAAAGGGATCAATTCAGTATTCAAGCGTTAGGCTTTGGCTCGGGATCTTGACCCGAACCAACCCTACAAATAGTTATTTACCTTTAGGGATTTTTCTTTTTGAACAAAACATATTATATGCATTAAGTAGGTGTGGAGTGGGTTAAGCAGTACAATAAGCTAGTAATAATGTGGTTCAAATTCGTCTTCGGTGAGAATTAAATCTAAAGTCTCTCACTCACAAGTGAAGAATAATATGACTAGACCATAGTACAATCTTATTTTTTTATTTTTTTAATAAATAATATTATTAACACTAAGAGGGCGAGGATGTAGCATTAGAGTCTAGTAATACTTTACTCTCAATTTGTAAGTGAGATGTTTCAGATTCGATTCCATGAGTGGCGAGTTTGATACTTAAAATTAATCCAAAAATCTTAGAGTTGACACGTGAGCTTTCATCTGCTTTCATCTGCATATGACGAAGATGCACTTGTTAAATTGGCAAAACCCACATTTATTACACGCTTCAACTTCTTGAAAACCTGAGTTGCTAACTACAATTTTTCCAAACTCTCATGTCTAGAAGAAAAGTCAAAAGTATTAAAGATGATTAATAAGTAAATGGTTATCTTTATGCCTTCCTTATCAAGGATCCACTCAATCAAGCAAAAAATCACAATCAAATCTAATCAAGAATCATAAAGGATAATTCCAGGATATTATTTAATTAATAATATCTTGGAATAATTTTTTCCTAATACATCCAACAGATGATAGTGACACATGTTGGCCAATTGGACGTCTGCATAGGGCATCACAATTCTTGTATGATACACATTGACCAATTGGACATCGACACATGGCATGGGAATTACTACACATGTGGCCGACTATCTCCCAATAAATACCCCATTCTCCACCAAGTTTCGATAAATTTTTGTTGCGCAATTAAGTCCTCAATTCTCTCTTTTTAAAGAAATGCACTTAAGCATTAGAAATTCATTGGTCAAACCCTGCACGTGGCTTTGGTTATTGATTAAAGATATTTAATTATTTTATAGATACAAATTTATCAAGATTGAATACCACGAATTTTTGCCACCACACCTATTATTAATTGTTTTGATGAAAAAATTCAATTTATTAATCAGTCAAAGTATTAATACTTTTCTATTAAAAAGAGACAAAATGCCATTTTTTATAAGGTGCAATCAGAATCTGTTGACTCATCAGATTATAAAACGACAACGGCATCAATTCTGTTGACTAATCAGACGACTGCCTTCTATTACTTAAGCAAGAGTTGTCATGAACCAGCTGGGTTATTATATAGATCCCCAAAACTAGAAAAACCATTGTATGAATAAATCAAAAGAAAATTTATGAAAATTTTAACAATAAAGACAAAATAAATAATAAAATAAATAGTATCATGATTGATTTTTTAGTGTAAAAATATGATTTTTCATTAAAATGAACAGTACCGGAAGTTTTTCGTTAAACTTCTTGTAAATCAAAGCATAATAACGTGAAAGAAACATAAAGGTGTGCAGAGAGAAACAGAATTCAGTACCTAAACCCTCAAAAATGGAGGCAGATTGTCTGCCTTCCTGTTTGTGTGCCGTTCCCATTCTCTCTTATTTTATACGATCACGGTTAAGTCAGATCAACATTTATATTGACTTTTTATAGAGATAATAAGAATATAAAATATTAATGTGGCTTAATCGTGACTGAATAAATAAGAAAAGATGAGAAAGACACCCAAACATGAAGGCAGAAAATCTACCTCCCTCCAAAATAGCAAATGACTAAGTGAAGGAGCAATATTGATCTCAACCACTCCACTATATAAAAATGGGACAAAACTCCGGTAAAATTTCCAAATTTTAACGGAAGAATATAACGTTTGGTGAATTAAAAAGGTACATGTACATGTCTTGGTGGGCAACTTTATTGAATTTTGTTTTCTTTATCCAAAAAGATATACACGTGAACCAGAAAGGCAAGGGATACAATTCTACTTTCTCTGATCGGATTTATTTTTATTTTTATTGGAACCATGAATTGGCATGATATGGACATCACATGCCGTATTATATGAAGCTGATGATGTGATTTCACGATTGTAGTAACCGAGTAACTATAGTTGACGGTCGATAAATAAAATTCATTTCACTCTTAACAAAATGTGGTGCGAAAATATAATATTTTTTCATACCCCTCAATTTTGACAATTTAACCTGCATTATTGTTGCATAGTATGTAAAACTATTAAGTAATTTAATTGCATAATACTCTCTTCCACAATTCTAGTTGCAGACTTGGTTAGTGTGGGATGGCGAAAATATGCCTCTTTCTTTCAAACTTTCTTTAATTATTTTATTTTTACTGTTTTACCATCCTATGATAAATAATAATGCTCTCTTTTGAAATGCTAATTAAAAAAAATGAGTTTTAACGAAAAACTCGCGGTACTGTCTATTTTAACAAAAAATCATAATTTTACACTAAAATATCAATTCTGGTACTATTTAATTTACCATTTATTTTATCCTTATCGTTAAAACTCAAAGTTTTCAAACCCTTTTCATTAGTTTTCCTTTAAAAAAAAAAGGGGTATTTGAACATTTTGAAAAGAGTAGTTTTATTAACACACCACTTATTTTCTTATATTACTCTCATTGTTCACATGCATTCAATATTCCCTCATTGTTCATTCTCACCACACCTCCAAATTTCAAGACTTTCACTAAACATGTCAATGCTAATTATAAGGTCAACTACATGACATTCGATTGTTGGTTTATGTTAATCAGAAACAGACGACATATCGATATTGCAGAGCAGAAGAAAAGTTGAAGGACTAGACAACAATGGAGAACGGAGAGATGGTAGCAGACACTAATAATACGACGCCGTTGTTGGAGGCAGGTGGTCATGGAGGAACAAAAGGGGGGTGGTGGAACAAGGTGCTGGACGTGGAGGAGGCAAAAAATCAGGTGTTGTTTTCGTTGCCAATGATTCTGACGAATGTTTGCTATTACATGATCCCTTTGATTTCGGTCATGTTTGCCGGCCATCTTGGTGAGCTACAGCTTGCCGGTGCAACCCTCGCCAATTCTTGGGCCACCGTCACCGGCTTCGCTCTCATGGTAAGGTGATTCTCTCACTCTCTCTGTATATCATGTTCTCTCCATGTATGTGCTATTAGGAAAATTAATTGAACAGTAACCAAGAAATATACAAATAAAACTGGTTACGAACTTTTAATAAGGATTACGATTGAAGACACAAACAAACAATAAAGAAATACTAAATCATGATTTATATGTGGCTTATTCTTTGTTATCAATTAATCATCCGTGACATTTACCCATCCCAAGCTTTTTAATCAATAGATTCATCGATCAACTCTTGAGTTGACTGAACTGATATATGTATATATAGAACATTAGAAATTATAAATAAAGTAATTTATAACTTCATTCACAAAATGAAACTGACACGCCCCAACCGAAATCAATAAGTGCTGGCCGTCACGTGAAAGTGACGTAACCATGTGCACAGTGCGAAAACAATAATAATATAAGAAATGCGAATAAATAAAAACCAATCTAACTAGAGCACTAAATAAGATAAGGTGCAAGAAGAAAATAAGTGTGAATTCACAACCAGAGCATAAACAGCCTAAGTGCAGTCCAGCAGAACGAATACTAATTATACAACACCCAAAGGTAATCCTATAATGGTGATAATCTGCCAGAGCTGCTGTTGATTCCTCACAAGCCACCAAAAAGCACTCCTAACTAGAACCTAGAGGGGCGCAAAACAGAAAGTGTGAGTGGACAAAAACAAAGCTTTTGAAAATCATTTCATTTATCAAAGATTGTAACCTCTCACTGTAAAACCTGTATAATTTCCCAGAAAATAGAATACATATTTATACCACAACCATACTCAGAATAGCAAAATTTACAATATATGCCATGTCGAATATCTCAGCATAAAAATACGTAAGCCAGGTGATATAAATCAATGCAAATGATATGTCAGCCAGAGTCACCTAACATGACCTGTACGGCTGAATCTAGAGCTCATCCATCTAGCCGGGGTCATCTAATGTGATATGTACGGCTCAAATCCACATCTCAACAAATATACCTGCACACGAATCGGAACCACCTAAAGTGGTTTGTACGACATGACTGGTTGTAAATAAATACGCTTAAGTGCTACGATCACGTGAAGATTGTGCGAATAATCGCGGGTCACCTATGAGTTGAAACTACCTATAGTGGTCTGTACGACAGGACTGTGCACCTAACTTGGATCCAAGGTGAGCGTATGGTGCGGGAGGTGAACATCACGTGAAGGACTGTGCCCTAACTCTGGGCGGGAGCACTAACACCGGGGTGCAGATTTATGAGCTCTCAACACATCTCACATAATCATCAATTCACATAAACAATCTACAACTCACCTGGTACTTACCTGAGCATCCATGCATCAAATCACAATATGCACATATCATACAAATTCGTAGGCTAAGCATAAATCAATAGGCATGGCATTTCAAACATAATTTCATTTAAATCGATTTTCTGGGAAAAATCTCAAGTATATAGGTATATATGGAAAACCAAAAGCCCATTCACTGGTATGTGGAAGGGTCGTAGCCCCCAAGCCTCGATTGACTACGTTCATCCTGAGAATAGGTCTCACCTATATGCGAAACAACTATATAACTGTTAATTTAAAGCACATAAACGAAACTAGCTAATAACTTCTCATACATTGCTTAAATGAGGTATTTGAATATACCAATGTGATCTACTTAACACCATGAACATCCTCATATTTTTAAAATAATTTTTGGACCACCTACGCGTTGCCATGCACCGGCAAGGGCATGGCCAGACGCACCGGCCATGCACAGGCACGTGCCTGGTATACGTACGGTAACCCTGACGACGTTAGGGAATATTCCGTCCAAAAATGGAATATACTGTTATATATACCTAACGCCGTTAGTAACACCGTTTGTATATTCTATCAAAGTTGACAGAATATTCTTCGTCTTTTTCGATGATCCTCGCCGGAGCCACTGTCGGTCGCCGTCTGCGTTGGTGGAAACTGAAAAAACTTTTAATCGTCATATCTTCTTCATTTTTCAACCAAAATTCATGAAATTTGTACCAAAATGAAGCTTACAATGAGTAGAACAAACCTTACCACTTTTAGGACTTAAATCCAACTGGATCTCACTGGAAAAACCCACGATAATCCAGCCACTACTGCAACTCGATGAACTCCAGCTTCTCGACGTCCAAAACACTTTAAAATTACTCCTTGAGCTTTGTGAATACGTCCTAAAGCTTCCTAGAACCTTAAAACTCACTGAAAAGTCCACGATCACGACTGCATGAATAGTGCACCAAATCGGGAATTCTTGGTTCTCGGGTTTTTGAAGGCTTCACGTCCAACCAAGGGTGTGGATGAGTTCCTGGGCTTGCTAGGAGTCCAAAACCAACCTTCAAATGTTCGATTCGTGCATGAAATGATTGGTCCAAGGTTTGTCCGTACAACTGTACGGAATTTGCAGAAAATTCGAAAGGGAGGAGAGAGAAGGTACACGGGTTAAGAGTGTCTGTGTGTGTGTATGTGGTCCTAGTTTGGGCTACCAACCAAAACAAACAAAAGCTTAAGTCCTAAATGGGTTAAAACACTTAGGAAAGATTTTAATTGGTCCAAATCCTTAGCCTAATAACACAGACCACCACCAACACGCTCAAGGGCAAAATAGACATTTCACACTGTCGATAAAAGTAATTCGGTATGGGCTATCACATAAACTCTCTTTGAATCACACTGGAATAAAATTGGAAAATAAGTTTGATTGTTTTTTATTGTATCGAGATATCGAATCCAGCCTTTTTTAGATTTCTTACATAACATGGTGGTAGTGGACAAATAAATATAGGTCAATTTATTGAGCAATATATAACTTCTTCAATTTCAACAAACTTATAAAAAAAAAAAATCACTTTTATTAGATTAAATGGAACAAGGTTCTATTCTATTAATATAGAAAGGGTTTGCATAATATCTGATTGATTGAATTCCACAAGTGAATAGAAAGGTGGGTCTACATTGGATCTCACCTGATTCGCCCCATCTTCACCCACTTCTATTTTTGTTTAATAGTTTGTAACCGGATTTCTTCGTGCATATTAGTGTATACGGTCTTAGAGTATTGCTTTCTTAAAATATGTTTTCCATGGCCTTCTCAATTCACTTGCTTTGTCTTTCAATTTTTCTAAATCAAGCGTTCTGCTTTTTCTCCTTTTTCTTTTTTTTGTACTTTAGAAAGGCTAAGAATAGTGCCAATTAATAGACCGGCCTTCTCTTTGAACTGTTTTCTTTGTCTATTATTCTTTCTTGGTTTAGGTTGGATTAAGTGGAGCTCTGGAAACGTTGTGTGGGCAAGGATTCGGCGCAAAGTTATATAGAATGCTGGGGATTTATCTACAAGCCTCTTCCATCATTTCTTTCCTCGCCTCTATCATTGTATCCGTAGTCTGGTTCTATACAGAACCAATACTTATCTTAATTCACCAAGACCCTCAAATCTCAAAATATGCAGCGCTTTATATGAAATTTCTGATTCCAGGGTTGTTTGCATATGGCTTCCTGCACAATATTTTGAGATTTCTTCAGACACAATCCGTTGTCATGCCATTGGTCTACTTCTCGGTGATCCCAGTGGTTCTTCATGTTGGCATTGCGTATGGCCTGGTATATTGGACAGGTCTTGGTTACGTGGGAGCTCCGCTGGCAGCTTCGATTTCAATATGGATATCAATGCTAATGTTGGCCACGTACGTTTTGTGCGCAAAGAAGTTTGAGCATACGTGGGAAGGGTTTACATTAGAATCATTTCATTATGTCCTCACCAACTTGAAACTTGCCCTACCCTCTGCAGCAATGGTATGGTAAGTGTTCTTCAATTTTTCTTTACTCTTTTTCTGAGTATGTGAGATAGAATCTAAGTATTCATGTCTTCATTTTTTTCGTCTTTCCAGTTTGGAGTGTTGGGCCTTTGAGATTCTGGTGTTCATGGCAGGAGTAATGCCAAAAGCTGAACAAAACACTTCCCTAATCGCAATCTGGTAAGCATTCGGCTAGCTCTAAACTTATAATTTTTCGCTCGACTCGAGTAGATTTTTCCTAATCTAATCATATCTTCAGTGTGAATACAGAAGCAATTGCATACATGATTACATATGGCCTCAGTGCTGCTGCAAGGTTGGTAGAACAATAAATTCCAAGTTTAACTAATCACTTCGGGTTTTTCGATTCTACATTCTGTTTCACACGTTGAATCAAATATTACTTTTTTCTTGCTTGTAGCACAAGGGTGTCAAATGAATTGGGAGCAGGCAATCCTGAGAAAGCCAAGAATGCAATGGCTGTGACTCTTAAGCTCTCTATACTTCTCGCGCTCATTGTTGATCTGGCTCTGGCATTTGGTCACAATGTATGGGCCGGCGCCTTCAGCGACAGCAGCGTAATAATAAAACTATTTGCTTCCATGACACCGTTGCTTGCAATTTCTATAATTGCTGATTCTTTCCAATGCGTCTTATCAGGTCCGAATCATCATCCACTTCTATTAGGGGTTGTCCATCTGCTACTTTGCATTTGAACTTATTCTCTTTGCCTTCTATTTCTCGAGTATCTATGAGAGCGAATTTTCGGTATTTCAGGTGTGGCCAGAGGATGTGGGTGGCAGCACCTGGCTGTGTATGTAAACTTGGGAACATTCTATTTGGTTGGCATGACAATTGCAGGTGTTCTTGCATTTAAGTTGAAACTACATGCTAAGGTTAGACCATTAAACTTGTAGCTTAATTTTACACCCCCATAGGATTGAACCTTGGGTTTCCAAAATAGTGTAAAAAGAAGTGTTTCGAATCACTGCTGTTTGACGCGGACCTGTTATAAAAAAGTCCGGGCATCTGCACACTCAGTACTAACATTATTAATTCTTTGGCTGAACACAGAAGTGGAACAAGCGGCTAGCTAGTAGTTGATTTTTTTTTTTTTTTTGTTTATGTATCTAACTCAGTTCACGTTTTGTGCTTGATTTCTTCTGGTGCAGGGGTTGTGGATTGGTTTAATCTGCGGTCTTTCTTGCCAAACTGTCCTACTTTTGGTGGTCACGCTGCGCACAAAATGGACTCAACTGGATTTACCTCGTAACGCAGATGCAATTTTGGTCTAAATGGTCACACAAAACTAGTTCACAACATAGACCGCAATGGCAACCATTTTAGACTAGATTATGGAATTTTGAGGAAGTTATATATTGCAGAGAAAAATAGTCTCTGGATGCTGGAGAAGATGCATGCATGTTTCCATTAACTGGTTGTTCTGGCAAGCAATTTCCTATAGCAGGTAGGTAGGTGACTTCAATAAGAGAAATTCACTTACTATTTAATGAAGATTAATAAAAAGGATCTGATTTGCCGAGCACTTTTGCATCTTCAACGAATGTCACGCGTGACTGTCTTAATCTTTATAGCGATGACTCCAAGAGTACGCGTATAATATCCCTTAAAGATAATATAGCAAAGGAGATTTTAGTAGTGAGCTATATTTGACATTAAAAATAAAAAAAAATAAAAAAAAACCAGCTGGTTGCTTGGCAATCTATTATTTCGGAGGCCGAAAAAACTTACAGAAATATTTTAGCCTCCCACTAACCATTATTGTGCAATCCACCAACAGAACTCAATCATTTTTTAATGCAACGGAAAATTGGAGTCATATGCAAGGTCATATTTGATTTTAGATATAGCTCTACAGGTAAAAGTAAAACCCCACATTAGAAGATTCAAAAATTATATTAAAGGCTTAGCCACTTATTATTATGGCAAGTTCATTATAAAGTTTAGTCCATTGCTCTATTCTTTTGTATATACTATTGTTTGTTAAAATACACACACAAACACACACACACACACACACACACACACACACACACACACACACACACTTCTCTGCCCTCCTACTCCCCATACACTTTCATCGCCTCCTATTTTGTACGGTCACGGTTAAGCCACGTCAACATTTTATATTGATTTTTTTTATAGAGATAATAAGATAAAAAGCAATAGTAATATAAAATGTTGACGGGGCTTAATTGTGACTGTACAAATAGAAGATGATAAGAGTGTATGGAAAGTGGAAGGGCAGAGAAGCCAAGTCCTGAGAGAATATGAGTTGTAAGTGCATGTTGAACACATGGCAGAAGAAAGCAAACAAACAAACAAACAAAAAGACAGCAACGACTTGACTCTAGCTGGACAGATTTTCAATGTACGTAGAACATGGAGTGTTAAATCATATGTTGTTGAAAATACTAGTGGGTAATGAATGCCCACTGTATTGAATACCTGCCACAACATTGAAAACATTGCCAAAGTGTTGAAAACCTTGGCAGAATATTGATATGTGGAGATTATATTGTCAAAGATGTGTGCTTGGAGTTGCTCTATAAATAGAGCACTCCGTATGCTTTGAATACAGAGCACATAGAGAAGGAGATGAGGGAAGAGAAAGAGAGGAAGAGGAGAGGAGGGAATAAATAGAGTTATCTTTGTACTCCTATTATTCCAAATTATAATGAAAGCATCACTGCTGCCCGAGGACGTACTCCAGTCACACTGACTGTAGAGGAACCTCGTAAATTTTGTGTCTTGTTTTATTTATTCCACTGTACACACATCGTCGGTTTTACAACACGTTATCAGCACGAGAAGCTCTCATGTCAGTGGAAAGCACAACGCCATAAATCCGATGAAGCACTATCTACCTCTCACCTCTGTCATCTAAAATCTCACAGAATAAAAGGTATGTCCATTTTTCGTCTCTCCCACTGCGCCAGAAGCGCCCCACCGAATTCCGATGAGAATTGAAATTTACGACCTGAAGTCGTCACGAGATGAGAAAACTCGTACTTGACAACTGGTTTCCAGAGATCCAGAAGAATCTCATCAGACTTGGAAACCCAGATCACGTTGTTTTCGACAGATCTTGAGAACTCCCATGAATACTTGGTTGTTTGAGATGGTGATGGCAAGAATGAATCCACACAGGCCTCCCTCTCTTGTGCCTCCATCAACCCCACTATCATCTATGTCTCTGTAAGGAGGTTCTTGTTTAACGATGCCATGTTCCCTGGGTCATGCAAGAACAACGCCAGTCTCTAGTAGCCTTTTGGATTGAATTGAATTTGGGCAACCTCCATAACTACCCAGCTGGCCTTGTGTTTCGAGACTGGCAGAGACAGAGAAGAAAAAAAAAAAAATAGAAAAGGGGGATTGATAGAATGGCAAGGCACATGTGAAGAAGAAAACAAGGGATGTTGACTGCAACATAAGAAATATATATATATATATAAAAGGATTTGAATGGTGCATGACACCATTTGGTCAACATAATATAAATGGTTTCTGTTGGTGCATGGCACCATGTTGCAGAAATAAGAAAAGTAACAATAATAAAGTTTGAATAAGTACTGACAAAAAAAAGAAAAATAATAAATAAAAGGAGGTATGATACTTCTTGTTATTTATGTGAATTTGTGTTGGTTTAAAACCCTTTCACAAGTTCTATTTACTTTAAAGCAATTTATTTATCATGGACGGTTTTACCGCCTACTGCTTTAAGTTTTGATTTATGTGAATGGTGCTGAATTAAAGCCCTTGTCACAAGTTTTATTTACTTAAATGCAATTTATTCATTATGGCTGGAATTACCGCCTATTGCTTTAATTTATTTATTGTACTTCTTTTTGTTACGATGAGTACATACTGGACCCAAAGTTCCTTAGTCAGATCAGAACCTATAGTTTCTTGATCCTCATCATATAAAAATGATTGGACCTGAAGTTCCATCATACAAAAAGATCGGGCATGAAGTCCCTTGATCCTCAAGATCAGGACATGAATTTCCTTGATAAGTACCTTAAGTTTGAAGTGCCGCAGTGCCTCAACTTAATTGCAATAAAAGCCATAAGAGTCTTAGTCTACAGACTATTAAATAAGGACCAGAAGTTCCTTATGTCCATACTCAAAAATGGTTTAGCAGAAGCATTTATTAAGCGGATGAAATTAATTACCCGCGTTCTGCTAATGAAAATGAAATTGCCAAAGTTTCTACATGGGACATGTCATTTTACATGATGCATTATTGATTTGGTTAAGACCTGTTGACAACCATCAATACTTCTCAGTACAACTCGCGTTTGGGAACCAGCCAAACATTATACATTTACGAGTTTTTGATTGTGTTATCTATGTGCTTATTACACTGCCACAACATACTGAAATGAAGCATCATTGTGGATTAGGCATTGATGTTAAACATCATTTATCATTCAATATTTAAAACCCTTGACTGGGGATATATTTACCACGTGGTTTGCGGACTGTCATTTTGATAAGACAATTTTCCCACCGTTAGGGGGAGAAAATAACTTCGTTCCAGAAGAACGATGAGGAAATATCATTCTAGAAGAATGATGAAAAAAAAAAACACGGTTCCAGAAGAACGAAGATAATTTATCTTATTTTTATTCATGAAGCAATCAATATACAAACGAAGTGAGAATAATTGAATGATGCAACGATATGCAAATCAAATGCCAGATGCATTTAATGATGCAACGAAAGTGATGAAATCACATATGCTTGCTGCAAATGTGCCTACAAGAATTAATGTCCCTGTTGGACAAAATAATATGGCAGCAAATGATTTATCTGTTGCACGCCTGAAGAGTGGCAGACCCTCAAACTCAAAAGGTTTTGTCCTTCAAAAGAAGAAGAATATGACACTACTAAAACTATTGCATTCCCGAAGCATAACTGTCGCATGCTAGACGCATGACAGTTACCGCAAGGATACTTGTCCCGAAAAAGGTCAATCCGCGGACATGGGAATATTGATGTCTCATGCATGAAGCATGATAGACGTATAGGTTCCAATGACTCAACTCTCGAAGTGGAGATTAAAATCCAAACTCTATAATGCTCAAGAGGAGGTTATGATCCACATTCTCTAAATTATAACTATCCTGGAAGAGATAGTGTAATGCCCTTGAAGAGGTAATGGATATCCCAAAAGAAATAAAAAGTTTTTATGCATGCGCATGCACATGAGAATATGGGATCACAAATTGATGATAACCAATGGTAATTTTGATTTTTACAAGTAGCTACTAAATTTATCAATGAGCTGTGGTGATATTGAGTCTCGTTCTTTTTCCATCAACAAAATTATGGGCCAAAATGAAGAAAGGCAATTCCATTACAATTTTGTAAGAACGTGGAAAAATAGACCTATATACTTGAATACAATACAAATAGCCAAAGGATGTTGAACCTAGAAGGTTACATATGGGCATTTGTAATACTGTGAAATACATTCACATGATATGACACAAGGTTGTAAAGGAGTTCATATGAATGGAGAATTATATACGAAGGGTTACGAGTCGCCCACATCATATCTCCATGAGTAAATCCCTCAAATATACATGAAAGCGAATTGCTCTGTATAAATCCTAAAGGAAAACGTGTCATGAAGTGTAGAAAATCCCTGAAGGATTCAAATTGCTTGAAGAAAGCCCCGGAAGGGTAAAGCATAAAATATGTACTCAATACCAATGGATGGTATAAATTGCCTTAGTGAGCACTTTCATTATGGTATTGTTGTAACATACTAAAATCTCTTGCAAGAGTTGATAATATTAAATTGGGACTCCTAAAGAGTCAAGAAAGATTATAAAGTGTTGAGAGAAATATTGTCCCGAACTGCAGAATCGAACAATATGCCAACACGAATCTTATCCATGATGTTTATGACATTAAAGAATCATATGGATTGAAGATTATGAGTTGAATACTCAAATGATTTAGACACTAAGAATGATCATTTATCTTCGTGAGGGTAAAGATAAATTGATATTTGGTCTAGAAGTACCACATCTTAGTGAAATATATGCTTTATTGTATTTAACACAATACACTGAATGAAATAAAGCTTATATATTAATATCTCCGAGAAATTACATACACATGAGTTAAAACAAACAAACAGAAGGGAACCTTCACAAAGGTTACTCATGTGAAGCCTCAGTACTCGGAAGTACCCCAGAAGGGGAAAACACCAGAAGTTGATTATTTGAAGTCTCAATACTTGGTGGAACTCCAGACAGCTAAGACAATAGATGTCTTTGGAATAAAGACTCGAAGCCCCGATTGTCATTTTGAGTCCGACTTTCGGATTCTAGTAGCTGGTCGAGCTTTCTTTTCATGCTCGTAGAGTAATTATTTGCAAGCATGTGTAACACTCTATTCTCATGCTTGAACCCTCTAATCTCTTGTTTAAGACTTGCAACCTCAACCATTAATGATTCAACTTGGTGAGTTCGAGCAAGTAGGCGCTGGCCCATATTGGATACAGGGCCCGCACATTGAACACTGAGAGCCAATGAGTCTTGAACGACCGCCTCATCAGACCGGTTTGAAAGGATTATGTTGTCCTTTGGAGTGAGAAGATTCATGGCTACCACTGTAGCAGTTATGTTATTCTTCATCACAGAGTCCCCAACCGTAAGAAGACCATTAGAAGATGAGAAGGACGGGTGCCATATGTTATCCTGACGCTGCTCGTCTGTATCAATCCTGAGATTCAAATCTAAGCAAATGTTAGATGGGCAAGCCATTTTTAGAAATAATGAAGGAAGTCAGATAAAATCTCAGAAGTGCAAGAAAGGGAAATTTCTGCAGGCAACAATTTTCTGAGTGTTTCTGAACAAAATTGATATCTCTATAAAAGGAAGGGCAACATGATCACTTATTCAATAATCGAAGAGACACCGATTTTCGAATTTCAAAAGCTGGATTTCCCTGCATGACATCTGTTAACATCTCTCAGACGCAATCTCAGCTCTTGGATATCACGTGCAACTTTGTCAAAGATTTCTGATAAAGTTGAAAACGCGTGAATCTTACTGTTCTAATTACACCACAGTTGCTGACAAAAGTAAAGGCACAGCACTACTACCTGCTATTGGGAAATCAATATATATGTCAACCTCTGTCCTCCATGGCAAGGCAGAACTGAAAAATATCTAACTCTTCTTCATCTCCGAGAATGCATCTTTCACAAAGTATCTCGAAATACTCAGTTTTCTTCCTTTCTGAGAATACCTCTACAAACAAGTCACACCAGAGCAAGAGTATCTCATATCATCAGGGACGAGAGCAAGAGTATCTCATATCATGTAATCTCCCTGTCCTTTCCTTTGTCCTTATTCTTACCTGCCAAGACAAGGACAGAGAAAGCAATATGTCGGAACCTCCACTCAAACTTTCGCTGCCACCAAGAAGTAATGGTCCATTCAAATGCAAGGTTTGCGTTTCACTCCTATATCAGGGGACAAATACTACAAGAGAAGATGCCAAACCTGCATAAGGAAAATACCACTTCTGCAAGGAGAGCAAGTAAGGCAAGTGAAAATGATACATTGAAGCATGTGGAGATAAGCACAACAAACACATGTCAGTTCATCCCCGACAAAGTCTAAGATCACTTGTCACATGAAGCTCCTCATGGTCCAATTTCATTCAAGATCAAGCCTAGACGGCCTTTGAAGAAATCACAAGTCCGATTCAAGATCAAGTGTCCACCACCCTTGAATCAACTTCAACTCCAGATAAAATAGGTAAATTCAGACTTTTGGAGGAAGTCTAGTAGAAGACCCTCTAACCCAGTTCAAGAACAAGCCTGTGGAAAATTAACAACAAGTGAAACACCTCATTCGGCAACTATCACCGCTAAAAGACTAAAGCAGCAGGATCAATGATCAGCTTAAAGAATTTGAAATCAGGGGGAGAAACTTATCAAGGGGGAGCATCCAAAAATAGATCAAGATTTTAAGGAGGCAACTAATGTTGATATGTGGACATCCAAGGAGGAGTGTTGAAAATACTAGTGGGTAATGAATGCCCACAGTATTGAATACCTGCCACAACATTGAAAACATTGTCAAAGTGTTGAAAACCTTGGCAGAATATTGATATGTGGAGATTATATTGTCAAAGATGTGTGCTTGGAGTTGCTCTATAAATAGAGCACTCCGTATGCTTTGAATACAGAGCACATAGAGAAGGAGATGAGGGAAGAGAAAGAGAGGAAGAGGAGATGAGGGAATAAATAGAGTTATCTTTGTACTCCTATTATTCCAAATTAAAATGAAAGCATCACTGCTGTCCGAGGACGTACTCCAGTCACACTGACTGTAGAGGAATCTCGTAAATTTTGTGTCTTGTTTTATTTATTCCACTGTACACACATCGTCGGTTTTACAACATATGTCATTATATTAGTGTAGCTAAATTTTCTTTTAAGTGTGGCCTAGATCCTAGTGTTCCAATCATTCTAAAAAATCTCTCCCGAAATGAAAAAAAGCATCTAAGTAGAAAAACTGAGTAACAGCTGCAGGTCGAAAATTATGACTCTGATTCTCTCTCACTTTAATTAAGAACCATAAAAAAGTTGCTGTTTGTCGAAATTTTGAAATCTTCTTTCTTCTTTCAGTAAAATTAAGCAGCCAGTTGGTACTCTCTCGAATTCTTGACGACACGCACGGTTGGTTCCAATGGCTAGGAAGCCAAAGAAACCATCATTTTTCAAGATCCTCTTTGGTGACTTCTCTCAGGGTCTGGTAAAATCCATCCTCCCTTCCTCTTCACTTTTCAACATCTAAACTTTTTTTGTTTGTGTTTTTTATTTTTCACTTTTGTGGGTTCTTTTGGATAACCATCATGGACAAATTTGTTCGTGGTTTTTATTATTTTTTTATTTTTTTTTATTTTAAATTTTGTGGATTCCTTTTCACTTTTCTGCATGTGTTAGATTAAATTTCTGCTGAAAATTGATATCCCTTTCCTGGTTCATGCGTGAGTTCAGGGTTTTTTGTTTTTTGTTTTTTGTTGTTTCTTTGTGAAAATTGTTTAATCAAATATTATGGATCCCCAAATTTTCAACATTACTCTGAATGTTAGCAACAATGGTTATTATTTCATCAACTGTAGTCAAGTTCACAAAGATTTGGTTAAATAATTTCCAAATGCTTGATTATTTTTGTTTGACATTAATTACCATGTTATACAACTCGAATTCTGTTTGCAATAATTTTTCTGATTTGATCTGTCAAATTACAAACAATATTTGTGAATGTGATCTTAAGTGCATTGGTTATTCAATTTTGTAGCGTATACCACCTACGTTTATTAGGAAGAACTTCAATAGACGACCACTTTGCAAATGTGACCTTAGAGGCCCTACCGGAATACGAAGAACTGTGGAATTGGAAGACAGGGAGAATGGCTTATTCTTCCGCAATGGTTGGCAGGGTTTTGTGAAGGACAATCATTTAGAATCTGGGGATCTTTTGGTTTTTGATTATGATGGTGAAACAAAGTTTAATGTCAAAATCTATGATAGGAGTGCGTGCGAGAAAGATGTCGAAGCAGCCAAGATGAATACAGAAAATCAAGCTAGAGTAAAAGATGAAAATGTTGATCTTGACACCGAAAACTATAACAAAGAGCGTGAAATCAGAACGACTAGCAGAAGTTGTAAGTTAAGCTCTGCTTTTGTTCTCTGCATTTGGCGAAGATTTGTATCTGATATCTTAACTTTTTTTCACTCCTTAAATTGTGTTTCGGATTCTGCAGGCAATTACCTCATTTCTAGGAAAAGACATTATTATGTAGAAGATACATCAACTGGATCTGTCTTGTTGAAATCGGAGAATAAATGTTTTCTAGCATTTTCATACAAGAAACATTTACTACAACGCGTGGTGAGTACTTTGTCACTCATTTCCTAATTCAATTTGTATTCTGAACAAGTTTCGCTATTGCGATTGAAAAATAGTGACAGATATCTTTGGTATACCTTTTAAAACTACAGTGGCTGCAGTGTGGCAGTTAATTGGAGAAACATTTCAAGAAACTTTTCTTCCAAATTCGACTTCTTTTTAGGGGTGGACTGTATTATAAGTTTTAGGATTGAGTACAAAGATATAGAATCGTTTACATGAAAACTCTTCTAGCTCGAATATGTTTTTCATTTTTAGTTTCACGGTCAAGTTTCAAGCGAAGTTATCCAAGATGTTCCACATTGCAGAGGATCCCGAAGCAACTAGCCGTAGATGAAGGCCTTATGTCAAAGAATACTGTAACGCTTCAAGATCCAGCTGGGCGTTCATGGCTTATTCAACTCAGAATCAGAAGGCCTAATTCTACTGATCACTTGGACATTTCAACAGGTTGGACAGACTGCGTGAAGGCGAACCGAATTTCACCCGGGGACACCATGATTTTTGAGTTTGTGAAGCAAGGTTTGATGCGTGTTCATATTTTCAAAAAAGGAGCAGTGAGAGGCAATAAGTGTCGTGTGGTGCTTGCTGGCCCTAATGTTAAAGCTGAAAGCTAGTTGATCCCAGAGTTTCACGTCACAAATTTACCATCCTTTGTAAAAATGTTGTGTTCTTGTAGCCAAGTAGTGTTCTTGTAAAAATGTTGTGACTGCAGTATTACTATTAGCTTATCTATTTTGGTTGAAGGATGATGTTATTTAATTTAATTACCCCAGCCACTCTTCTGTCTCTAAGTGCTTAGTATTTTTTTCACAGGTCTTCAATTTCTGTTTTTGATACAAGCAATGTTGGCCAATTTGATTCTGGGATCCTGAATGTAATAGTAAACTCTCTTTTCCAAAAAGTATCATGACCCAAATCGGAGCTCGGACGTCAAAATTGCAAATTTCTAATGCGTCCCTTCGACTTTCGTTGGTCTATTTCCTCTTCAATCCACTCAGTTATTTGTTCTACATCATTTAGATGATAAATAACTAATACATAAATGTGTTGGTGTTTATATAGGGTAAGCTAAAATAACTAGGTAACACCAATGAATGTGAATGTGTTGGTATTTAGATTCCAATTATTCAACTTTGTACAATTCTAGTTGCAGACTTGGAGTTAGCGTGGGTTGCGGAAAATGTATCTCGTTCTTTCAAATTTTCTTTAATTATATTACTTTTACTGTTTCACCATCATATGATAAATAATAATACTCTCTTTTGAAATGCTAACTAATCAAAATTCAACAATAAGGAATTTTTTTTATTGTATGCCTATTTAACTGAAGAATCATAGAAAAATAGTAGATATAACCAGCAAATTTTGGAAAAGTTCAAATTTGGGAAATAGTTAAAGAACGAAAAAAAAAAAATTTTGGTATTCTAATTGCTTGAAATTTTGGTATGGGTTGGGTTAAGTGGAGCTCTAGAGACGCTTTGCGGGTAAGGTTTGGAGCAAAGTTGTTGTTTGGATCTAAAATTACACCATCCACCCTTGCAATTAAGGTCATTGAGTGAGCATAGTTCCACACCATCGTATGGGAAAGTTAAGATAATGTTGTTGTTAAGGGATAATATTATGGTTTTTAATCATAATAATTATCTTTTAATAATGAATTGTCCCAACGTTTTCTTATGCAAGATAAATGGGATTCAAATTATCTCCAATCTGGAAGCAATAAGAGAGTTCAAGTTAACTTGGGTTTGCTAGCAGTGGACACGTAGATTGGGACAGCTTGGAGTAGGAGATCAGCACAAAGATATGAAGGATGGGGTTATTGGTCAAAAGAATGGGATTGCATTTGCATGCAGCGTGAGGCCATGGAGACTTGTATTTAGAGACCTATTCCATGCAATTAAGAGTCCAATTTGAAGAAATTAGCAATATGAGTGGTGTTTGATTAATGCCGTGCATGTCCCTAATGTGCTATTGGTTTAGTGATAACAACGGGATGATCGGAGATAAAGTTGGGATTGTACGTGGTCTTGATTTCACAAACAAGTTCGAGAGGATGGCAATTTGTGAAGTTATTAAAGATAATATTCTGAGGAATATTATTTTTGATTGCTTTGGTGCGGCGGCAAATAATCTTTCAACATGGTCAGCAGACAAATAGCACTATAAATAAAAAGTTGCAAATAACGTGCCAACTCCTCCAAACCAACACACAAAAAGAAATATAAAATTAAAACAGTGAAATCCGAGGACAAAATTTTACATTATTAGTGGTGTTTTATTTTTTTGGTGTGCCGGTGATCTCCTTTGCGAGTGGAGTACTTATTCTTGCGGCTAGTCATGCTAGCCCTTCCCTTGTAAATGAATTTTAAGAAATAATTTTCGAACTCTTTTTTAAACACTCATTGATTATCTGTGTCATTTAATTCTTCTTTAAATCATAAAGGGTTAAAGTCGTACGAATACTATTTTGCATTCTTTTGGAACCTAGACGATGTTATTGGGCGGCAATTGCCTATCGGCTACTTAGTAACCAGTTTGTAGTTTTTCTTGTTTGGGCTTCGGCCTCAATTTACCTTTTTTTTTTTTTTTTTTTGGTCAAATGATAAATTTTGTTAAATTAGATGTTAGATTAATTACTGACGAGATTTGAACCAACGTCGATATGCAATTGCTCAACTCATTTCTATTACTGTGGTAAATGGTCACTTGCCAGCCTCAATGTATCTTCAAAAAAACATTTTTGTAGAGAATAATGTTAAGAATAAATAAGTCTAACAACATTTGGAAATCGAAATATAATCGTGTCAGATGATGATTTGACCATTCAATTCAATTGCATTAATTTTCTTTTGGTAAAAGGTGAGTGAATGCAATTTATTAAGCATAGATATGTTTCAAACCTACCTAAATAGTTTTTTTTTTTTTTTTTTGGTCAAAACCTACCTAAATAGTTTTATGTTCCTTTTTTTTGAAGTAAAAGTGATAATCTACGCTAACAAGCCTAGACTTGAAGTCGAAACCCGTAAATGGTTAGTTATGCTGTAAGAAAAACAAGGGGACAAAGGAAAAGGAAAACTGTAGCTACACGGAGCAGCCATGTATTCCTAGAAAGCTTTCAACTTTGAAAATCGCTGCAGGGCATCGTAGAACAGAAGGGTTCCAATGGCACGGAAGGGTCCTCGGAAGAAACAATCGTTTTTCAAGGTCGGACTTGGTGAGTGACTTCTCTAAGCATCTGGTAAAATCTTTGCCTTCTTTCTTATAAACTTCTCAAGATCAAATTTTTTACAGTCGTGCTTGCAACTTTTCTCTTCTTGTTTTTGGGTTCGTTTTCTACATTAATCAGAAATTTGAGTGAATGTTAAAAATACCCTTTTCATGGTTTCATGTTTGGATCTACTTTTGTTTATATTTAACTACTGGTGTCGATATATTATAAAAATAAAAAAAATAAAAAAATTGCACATTTGAAAACTTGTTTGGTTACTCAGAAACCGAGAGAAAAGTGAAAACTGATCCTCAGGGCTTAATCAACCGAGAATGATGACATCAATAACTTTTGGCTACTGATTTACACACAACTTTTTTCTTCCATACACACTAATTTTTATGTCCTTTGTACACTTGCAAATCCATGATATCCTGGGAGTTGTGTAGACTTCTTTCTCCAAGGAGATTATTGGTGATTGCGATTTGATCGGATTAGGATTGGACTGCATTGGAGTGTACAGAAATGTAGAGGATAACAATGATACAATTCTGTGTTTGGTACTACACATGACTAAGTAAGGGATTAAAACGTGAATTAAAACATGAGGGAGTGTTAGTGTAATGTTTCAAATGTGGGGTGATTTTGTGAAAACTCGATAAACCTCAGGGGGTGTTAGTGTAATTAACCCATTTACAAGAAGGCAAATAGGAATTGAAATCTCGAACAGTACCAAAATTTTGAAAATTTTTCAAGAATCCCAAAATTCGAGAATATCGAAATTTCAGTTCGGTTTCGGGTTCTGAAATCCCTTTTTAAAAGGGATCAATTCAGTATTCAAGCGTTGGGCTTTGGCTCGGGATCTTGACATGAACCAACCCTACAAATAGTTATTTACCTTTAGGGATTTTTCTTTTTGAACAAAACATATTATATGCATTAAGTAGGTGTGGAGTGGGTTAAGCAGTACAATAAGCTAGTAATAATGTGGTTCAAATTCGTTTTCGGTGAGAATTAAATCTAAAGCCTCTCACTCACAAGTGAAGAATAATATGACTAGACCATAGTACAATCTTATTTTTTTATTTTTTAATAAATAATATTATTAACACTAAGAGGGCGAGGATGTAGCATTATAGTCTAGTAGTACTTTACTCTCAATTTGTAAGTGAGATGTTTCAGATTCGATTCCATGAGTGGCGAGTTTGATACTTAAAATTAATCCAAAAATCTTAGAGTTGACACGTGAGCTTTCATCTGCATATGACGAAGATGCACTTGTTAAAGTGGCAAAACCCACATTTATTACACGCTTCAACTTCTTGAAAACTTGAGTTGCTAACTACGATTTTTCCAAACTCTCATGTCTAGAAGAAAAGTCAAAAGTATTAAAGATGATTAATAAGTAAATGGTTATCTTTATGCCTTCCTTATCAAGGATCCACTCAATCAAGCAAAAAATCACAATCAAATCTAATCAAGAATCATAAAGGATAATTCCAGGATATTATTTAATTAATAATATCTTGGAATAATTTTTTCCTAATACATCCAACAGATGATAGTGACACATGTTGGCCAATTGGACGTTTGCACATGGCATGACAATTCTTGTATGACACACATTGACCAATTGGACATCGACACATGGCATGGCAATTACTACACATGTGGCGGACTATCTCCCAATAAATACCCCATTCTCCACCAAGTTTCGATAAATTTTTGTTGCGCAATTAAGTCCTCAATTCTCTCTTTTTAGAGAAATGCACTCAAGCATTAGAAATTCATTGGTCAAACCCTGCACCCCGCTCTGTGGGCACGTGGCTTTGGTTATTGATTAAAGATATTTAATTATTTTATAGATACAAATTTATCAAGATTGAATACCACGAATTTTTGCCACCACACCCTATTATTAATTGTTTTGGTGAAAAAATTCAATTTATTAATTAGTCAAAGTATTAATACTTTGCTATTAAAAAGAGACAAAATGCCATTTTTTATAAGGTGCAATCAGAATCTGTTGACTAATCAGATTATAAAACGACAACGGCATCAATTCTGTTGACTAATCAGACGACTGCCTTCTATTACTTAAGCAAGAGTTGTCATGAACCAGCTGGGTTATTATATAGATCCCCTAAAGTAGAAAAACCATTGTATGAATAAATCAAAAGAAAATTTATGAAAATTTTAACAATACAGACAAAATAAATAGTATAATGATTGATTTTTTAGTGTAAAAATATGATTTTTCATTAAAATGAACAGTACCGGAAGTTTTTCGTTAAACTTCTTGTAAATCAAAGCATAATAACGTGAAAGAAACATAAAGGTGTGCAGAGAGAAACAGAATTCAGTACCTAAACCCTCAAAAATGGAGGCAGATTGTCTGCCTTCTTGTTTGAGTGCCCTTCCATTCTCTCTTATTTTATACGATCACGGTTAAGTCAGATCAACATTTTATATTGACTTTTTATAGAGATAATAAGAATATAAAATATTAACGTGTGACTGAATAAATAAGAAAAGACGAGAAAGACATCCAAACATAAAGGCAGAAAATCTACCTCCCTCAAA